CGAGATTCTCGATGCCTTTAATGTTCCTTTTCCGTTTTTTAATGACATTCTTAGTCCTATTTTGTATCGTTGTGATTCCATTCCATGCCAATCCACTGAACCATGATCCGCGATGAACCTTGTTCGATGTACTGTGTGTAAAGTCATGTAATTAAACAGCTGAATCAAATCGAATGGTGTCTTCTATTCAAGACAGGAGTCATTGTTTTATAAACATATATTGTCTGCAAACTATTGGTTAGATTCGTGAACGCTGAAAGAAGCATTTTCATGAACAGTTGGCTGTCTTGACAAACAAGTCATCCAGCACAAAGATTTACACGATCCGAAACTACATCAGATCTCATGACACGTCACTCGATCTTAGATCCGAAGTTTGCGAATCTGGGTTTTCCCACAGCTCAAACTGACGGCTGTTGCAAGTCCGACAATTGCAACCAGTCCATGAGCCGCAAATTAATTATACCACAGAATATGTTGATTGGAACAAGCAAAGTAGTTGGTGATATGTCCTGATCTATGCTGTCCTCATGTTCGTCATTCACCAGTTCGGACTGATTCAAGTTTTGTAGTACTGGCCTACTTAGACACCATGCCACAGTGTAACATGGTCACACCAGCCACACACAGTATACCAACAAGTGTTTATTAACTACATGCACAGCGTCAGCAGAGTAACAACAAGAGCCGTCTTACATTGTATTTCTATGTGTAGCAGATGAGGATCGAACCACTGACCATCGACTCTCCGGGAAGACGCCCTGTCCACTACACCATGAAGGCAGACATGTACAGCGGCATGAGGGAAAATATAGTATATAGGGAACTATACTTCACATGTATTGTCATATGAATTATGCCACAGAGACATCAACTGAATATATATCTAATAGTACATTAAAATCCACAAAACAAATACTACAATATATAGACACAAAGCAGTCGAGTCATTTAAAAGCACGACAAATAAGGTGACATTATATGAGGAAATTACATTATCATAAGTGACAAAGAACCCTCCAGCCCATAGCTGTCTCCAGTAGCAACTGTAACTGTTGTCGTGGATAGATATGATGCATACAGGTTTTATACATTTTTCTGTCAATGAATATGCATTACACAGCTTCAGCGTGGTTCGGTTATTCTTTTGCTTCGTGGGGGGAGAGGTGGGTGAGGGTTGTTGTTTTATTTCTTTGTTTCTCTTGTTTTATACATGTGTGTGATTGGGGTGTGGATGTCATGGGACGTTATGATGTAGTTCAAGAGCTCCCATCAGAATAGGAAGAAATGTTCACTAACACGGTTTGTCTTGAGATTATATGTTGACAACATGAAAGTAGTAAATGGAACAGATCCACTCACTTCACGAAACCAAATCAACTGTAGTAGCATGTCCATGAACTTTCTGGCTTACACATCACTGCCCAAGTATGGTGCTGGGACAAGAACCATCAACCATACGCGCTATCACAACAGATATTTACAGAGTAACTGTGATTAACCAGCGGATCCGAAGTTTATTTCAGCCCTGGAGTTGTATACATGCAGTTCAAAGACTTGTCGAAGCACAATCAGTCAGTTGGGAAATCCGACAAATATGGTGCTTGTAATTAAATTCAGTTATTGACCTGGGTGCTGTGGTACAAAACAACCTTAGCGCTAAGACTACCGTATTAAGTCAATGTTAAGGTATAGAGTTAAGGTCACCTTAGCGCTAAGACTACCGTATTAAGTCAATGTTAAGGTATAGAGTTAAGGTCACCTTAGCGCTAAGACTACCGTATTAAGTCAATGTTAAGGTATGGGAGTTAAGGTCACCTTAGCGCTAAGACTACCGTATTAAGTCAATGTTAAGGTATGTTAGTTAAGGTCACCTTAGCGCTAAGACTACCGTATTAAGTCAATGTTAAGCTATGGGAGTTAAGGTCACCTTAGCGCTAAGATCAATTTATACAACGGCACTCTGGGGCTCCTTTCACGAAGCAACCTTTATTAAGGTTAACCTAACACCCATTCTTTAACACTGCACTATGATCACCTTAGTGACTTACGTTCAGCTGAAGTACATGTAGTGCTTTGAAAAAGGAGGCCCATGGGCGTATATCACTTCCAATCGCCTTTCCAACACAATAAGTACCTCAAACGCCTTTCAATGGTCCAGCAGTTTTTATGAATGTACATCGAATTTGTATCCTCTTCAAAGAGGTTTTTATGTATGCACGTTAACTGATGGATCCGAAGAATAATTCAACCAATGAGACCTGTCGAGTTATTCATGAGAATTTCAGACCCCTGTCGGCGCATGTCCATTGGGAAACCAACACTGGACAGCTACGTCGCTCTCTCAGTTGACTCACTGGTCTTACTTACACAGGAAGGATGAAGGAAGGGAACAACTTTTGTTCATCTGGTAGGCTATTTAGGATGGCTTTTCAGTGGCTAATATGCTATAGCCAAGAATATCACCAGGTACGTTATGCATTGTTGACCTCTTCATTCAGATATTGTGTAAAGTGTATTTATATGTGTAAATGTGTATCTTCAGTCTCAGTCCAACTTAACTGCACTGTTAATGGTCGCTACAACTACAATAACGTATAACGTACATAAGCTTTATGTAAACATCTCAATGTAGGATTATATCATATTTTTTACATACAGAGTCTTCACTATTTTACCTCGGATCCGGTTCATGCAGGTAGCCAAAGTAGTGTAAGTCCCCATGGTCCCTAGCATGGTGATCAGCCTTCAGTTGCTGGCGAAATATAGCTAATTTTTACGTTGTATTGTCCAAAAATAGTTCTCTACTTTTAAAGATATATGCTAGCTAGTTTTAACTCATTTTGTGATAATCTAGTAATTTTACTGTCCTTCGTTGACAGGGTTTTATATATTATATGTATGTATTATGAATTTAGAACTAGTTTTAGTCACGATATGGCTGAAATATTGCCAATGTGGCTTTAAATTTTAACTCACTCACTCACTCACCTCGGATCCGAATATCTTCACACAGTCACTTCACGGGTCACATTTACATCCGGGTTCAACAAAAACCAACACCAGCATCACCTATTGTAACACCATCATTACACGTGTACACTTGATGAATTCTTTTCTAATTATCTGCATATAGCTGTTCGCATTTCTTTTAAAACTGCATCATACGAACTTAGTGAATACTGTACAGAATATTCCATTGCCCTTTCTTTTACTTCAAAGTGCATTTACCTTTCTCAAAAAAAAAGATATCATTGTTTCAGGACAAGTGTTCAAGGGACAAATGGACCAGTCATCTGACAGAAGAACAACGGATGGCTCCTGTGACAAAGAAGTCTGTGTTGCTGGTGTCGGAGTGCCTGGGCGAAGGTTGGGACACGGTCGGACTCCGACTGGGACTGTCCTATGCTTGTGTACAGAGGTGTAAGCTGCCTCGCTGTATGCTGGACAAGTGGAGGATGAAGGAGGGTTTGAAGGCTACAGTGGACTTGCTGGTGAATGTGCTCCATGAGAGTTTGTATGCCTGTACAGTGGACATGTTTGCTGTAGTCAAATATTTTAAACACTCTGTTTGATGTTCACAGCATACATCACCGGTAGGCGCTGCCAAAAAGAGGATAACATTTCTTCAAACCATTCACTGTGTTGCATTTGAATCTATAAAGTCCGTCATGTCTGAGATTACTATTACTGGTCATATCCTTTCATCAATGTCCTGCGGCTAACTAATTTGGATTCATGGAAAAACATATATGATCAGTTTAATGATAACTCTTGGTGATGATTTCTTACTACGGTTTAGAAAAAAAGATAAAGACTTCTCTGAATTGAAAAACTCTAATGTGATAAGAGTTAATCACTGTAAATTGACAAGCCTAACATGGAATAAAACAAGTCATTTCATAAATGTACATTGAGCATTTTGGAGTACATGTAGTATTAGCATGTATTGTGTGTGCAGTTGGTTTCTTTTTCACAATGATGTTGTTTCAATGTCACTGCTAACCAAAGATACGTATATTTATGTAGCGGATCAGAAGTATCAATGTAATATTTGGGCACGCATGTATGCACGTTACGTCATTCATCTTTGTAGAGGTCATGTCGTGGTTAGTGAAATTATCAATGCACTTAATGATACATGAATCATTTGAACGTTCCTGAAACAAATGTATTTCTAAACATTCACTTTCAACTTGAGTCAAGGCGTTTAACGTAACAATTAATCCACACAACAACAGATGAGGTCAGGTGTGTCAAAATAGCTCAAACCCGGAAGTATTTCCCTTTTTATTTAAGAAAACACACTAGAAACGGCCCACACTTTGCTTGTAAAGGGAAGCATGTATCGTAGATTATTGTCTTCTTATCATAAAAAACATTCATGTTGGGTATGTTTAAAATTGGGCGAAATCACAATGAAAGTTTCTATCAGTAGTGATACAAACTGTTTACATACATTAAGATGCAAAATATTTATTTCTACTATTTCAAATTCAATGTTTCAAAAGTGGTCAGGTTAGTTACGAAGACATTTGATTGACCAAACACTCTTTCCCAATCATAGACAGGGTTAGAATGACGTATCTATAAATAGTAACACGTCACAACTATTTCAAGTAAATCCGAAAATTGTGATCCGTAACGTTACCACAACCACTATCGCCTGCATGGGACATGTATAACGTAACGAGCTGCCATTGAGCCCAGATGGTCTATTTCTTCAGGGCAGGACTGACTGAACATGATCCGTCGGAGATATTTTATGCAGAGAGATTTTAAGAGACGGTTTTCTTTATTGCTGCAGAGGATTTTCTGCTGCTATGAACAGTTTGAATTTCAGGTAGGACAAACATATATGTTTATGTATTTGTTGTATTAAGCTATAATTGTTATGGTTTTATTGCTCGATGTATTACATAGAAGCATTGCGCTTCAAAAACACCGAAACCATCATGATATTTCTAGCAAAATTGGTGCTATCATATTTATATTTACAGCCATTATCCAGTGATGGTGGGTCAACAGTGCCTCTGCCTGCTGTTATTCAGAACTCTTGTGTCTCCGAGCAGACTCCACAGTGTGTAGCTGGGCATATTGGGGAGGGATTTGAAGCAGTGGCCATAAGACTGGGCCTACCAAAGGTGTTCATAGACAGGTGTAAGATGTCTCACTCCTCGCATCACATGCAGGTGTTTCACATGATGTACACGTGGAGGCAGATAACTGGGACACAAGCTACGGTCAGGGTTCTGATGGATGTTCTGGCAGACTCTGTACACGTGTGTGATGTTGATGTGGACGCCGTTGTAAGGCTGTTGAAGACAATGGAGTAAATGTCATGGATTTGATTTATGATGTGAGTCTAAGGAAAAGCTATAACCAGAAGCTGCAGGAAACATGTACTTGTAGACGCTGCAGGCTGGAAAGGTGTAGTTAGAGTCAGAATGTATTTTGGTCAAATATATTTCTCTTCACAGTTATATGGGCCGATATCATATCTACCGGCTTCACATCCTAATGAGAACCTTATTCATGAGTTTTCTATGCTCGTACGCAGATGAGGAAGGATGGCTTCAGCACTATCATTTCGAGAAACATTCACACCTTGTATCCATGGTGGGATTTCTGTTGTGACGAATAAGAAGCATATGGGTGTCAGATATACTCAGTTCAGCATGTTACTATAACGGCCATGAGAAGAGACCAGTAAACACTCTACGTTTCTATAAACGTTGTTGTTCTTCGATCAAAAGATAGTGATCCTTTGTGTGTCTGTGTCAGTGTCTGTCTAAATCTAGCTTGTGCAGCTGTGTCATGGGCATCTCCCTGCTGCTGAAGCTGAAATATTACACACTGGAGACACGCCTGCTAGCTGCTGACCTCTCGTTGTGTATAACAAATAATCACTGCAATGACGATCCGAACATTCTGACAATATGTCAGTGACAGGTTTTATGCTCGTCATCGATAAATCAGTCATGGTCACGACTGGGGACGTAAGGGATCAGCTTTAAACAGTGTCCCTAGTTGAGGTCATAGTTGCATTATGTGTACATAACCTTTAAGCGCACAGAGCAGTTATTAGTGAATGATGCGCTATATAAATGCCATTATTATTATTATTATTATTAATATTATTATTATGTAAGGGTTATGCTGCTATATGGCTTACATATATCATAATACCTTAACGTTACGTTAAGTAAAACACCGTGTCCAATGGGTATTTTGTTCTAGAAAATATAAGAAAGGTAATTCAAGGTGTTTAAACAAACATGTCGTAGTTGCTATCCTATAGTTAGCTTTTATCAGTTGCTTCAGACTCTTCATGTTAATGATCCGAGAATTCAGACATCGAATCTCTTAATGCAATGCCAGTTACATAAAATATATCCTTTTCTCATGAATGTTATGTAAACTGACAGGGTAAAGGGTGTTATAGTCATATCTGTTTTGTACACATTATGAAAATGTTTTGCTGATATATCATGGTGCCTCTAGACGACGCATCCTTGATGTATTATTTGTAAAGTGGGGGTCACGGGGCCATCGAGATGAAGCCGAGATTCTCGATGCCTTGATGAACGCAAAATGATATTGTACGGATTATTCATAACTCTCAGATTGCTGTTAACAATCGCAGTTGTCGTAAAGTGTCAGGAAGTGTTCCAGAGTTTCGGGTATAATTCGGGTAAAATCCTATTTCGTTTTAATGTTCCTTTTCCGTATTTTTATGACATTCTTAGTCCTATTTTGTATTGTTGTGATTCCATGCCAATCCACTGAACCATGTGCTCTGATCCGCGATGAACCTTGTTCGATGTACTGTGTGTAAAGTGATGTAATCAAACAGCTGGATCAAATCGAATAGTGTCTTCTATTCAAGACAGGAGTCATTGTTTTGTAAACAAATATTGTCTGCAAACTATTGGTTAAATTCGTGAATGCTGAAAGAAGCATTTTCATGAACAGTTGGCTGTCTTGACAAACAAGTCATCCAGCACAAAGATTTACACGATCCGAAACTACATCAGATCACATGACAAGTCACTCGATCTTAGATCTGAACCCGAATCCGGGTTTTCCCACAGCTCAAACTGAACCAGTCCATGAGCCGCAAATTAATTATAACTCAGAAGATGTTGATTGGAACAAGCAAAGTAGTTGGTGATATGTCCTGATCTATGCTGTTCTCATGTTCGTCATCCACCAGTTCGGACTGATTCAAGTTTTGTAGTACTGGCCCACTTAGACACCATGCCACAGTGTAACATGGTCACACCAGTCACACACAGTATACCAACAGGTGCTTATTAACTACATGGACAGCGTCAGCAGAGTAACAACAAGAGCCGTCTTTCAGTGTATTTCTGTGCCAGATGAGGATCGAACCACTGACCATCGACTCTCCGGGAAGACACCCTGTCCACTACACCATGAAGGCAGACATGTACAGGGACATGAAGGAAAATATAGTATATAGGGAATTGTACTTCTCATGTATTGTCATATGAATTATGGCACAGAGACATCAACTGAATATGTATCTAATAGTACATTAAAATCCACAAAACAAATACTACAATATATAGACACAAAGCAGTCGAGTCATTTATAAGCATGACAAATAAGGTGACATTATATGAGGAATTTACATTATCATAAGAGACGAAGAACCCTCCAGCCCATAGCTGTCTCCAGTAGCAACTGTAACTGTTGTCGTGGATAGATATGATGCATACAGGTTTTATAATTTTTCTGTGAATGAATATGCATTACACAGCTTCAGCGTGGTTCGGTTATTCTTTTGCTTTGTGGGGGGAGAGGTGGGTGAGGGTTGTTGTTTTATTTCTTTGTTTCACTTGTTTTATACATGTATGTGGTACGGCTGTGGATGTCATGGGACGTTATGAGGTAGTTCAAGAGATCCCATCAGAATAGGAAGAAATGTTCACTAACACGGTTTGTCTTGAGATTATATGTTGACAACATGAAAGTTGTAAATGGAACAGATCCACTCACTTCACAAAACCAAATCAACTGTAGTAGCATGTCCATGAACTTGCTGGCTTACACATCACTGCCCAAATATGGTGCTGGGACAAGAACCATGAACCATACGCGTTATCACAACAGATATTTACAGAGTAACTGTGATTAGCTAGCGGATCCGAAGTTTATTTCAGCCCTGGAGTTATATACATGCAGTTCAAAGACTTGTCGAATCATAATCAGTCAGTTGGGAAATCCGACAAATATGGTGCTTGCAATTACATTCAGTTATTGACCTGGGTGCTATGGTACAGAACAACCTTAGCGCTAAGACTACCGTATTAAGTCAATGTTAAGGTATGGGAGTTAAGGTCACCTTAGCGCTAAGATCACTTTATACAACGGCACTCTGGGGATCCTTTCACGAAGTAACCTTTATTAAGGTTACCCTAACTCCCATTCTTTAACACTGCACTATGATTACCTTAGTGACTTACGATCACCTTAAGTACATGTAGTGATTTGTGAAAGGAGGCCCTGGTCGTATATCACTGCCAATCGCCTTTCTTACACGAAAAGTACCTGAAAAGCCTTTCAATGGTCAGGCAGGTTTGTGAATGTACATCGAATTTGTATCCTCTTCAAAAAGGTTTTTATGTATTCACGTTAACTGATGGATCCGAAGAATAATTAAACAAATGAGAGCTGTCAAATTATTCATAAGCATTTCACAGACCCCTGTCGGCACCTGTCCATTGAGACACCAACACTGGACAGCTACGTCGCTCTCTCAGTTCCCTCAGTGGTCTTACACAGGGAGGATGAAGGAACGGAACATCTGTTGTTCATTTGGTCGGCTATTTAGGATGGCTTTTCAGTGGCTACTATGCTGTAGCCAAGAATATCACCAGGTACGTTATGCAATGTTGACATTTTTATTCAGATATTGTGTAAAGTGTATTTATATGTGTAAATGTGTGTCTATCAGTCTCAGGCCAACTTAACTGCACTGTTAATGGTCGTTTCAACTACAATAACGTATAACGTACATAAGCATTATTTAAACATCTGAATGTAGGATTATATCATATTTTTTACATACAGAGTCTTCACTATTTTACCTCGGATCCGAATATCTTCACACAGTCACTTCACGGATTACATTTACATCCGGATTCAACAAAAACCAACACCAGCATCACCTATTGTAACACCATCATTACACGTGTACACTTGATGAATTCTTTTCTAATTATCTGCGTATAGTTGTTCGCATTTGTTTCAAAACTGCATCATACGAATTTAATGAATTCTGTACTGAATATTCCATTGTCCTTTCTTTTACTTCAAAGTGCATTTACCTTTCTCAAAAAAAACATATCATTGTTTCAGGACAAGTGTTCAAGGGACGACTGGACCAGTCATCTGACAGAAGAACAACGGATGGCTCCTGTGACAAAGAAGTCTGTGTTGCTGATGTCGGAGTGCCTGGGCGAAGGTTGGGAGATGGTCGGACTCCGACTAGGACTGTCCTATGCTTGTGTACAGAGGTGTAAGCTGCCTCACTGTATGCTGGACAAGTGGAGGATGAAGGAGGGTGTGAAGGCTACAGTTGGCGTGCTGGTGAATGTGCTCCAGGAGAGTGTGTATGCCTGTACAGTGGACATGTTTGCTGTAGTCAAATGTTTTCAACACTCTGTTTCATGTTCACAACATACATCACCGGTAGGCGCTGCCAAAATGAGGATCACATTTCTTCAAACCATTCACTGTGTTGCATTTGAATCTATAAAGTCCGTTACGTCTGAGATTACTATTACTGGTCATCTCCTTTTATCAATTTCCTGCGGCTAACTAATTTGGTTTCATGGAAAAACATATATGACCAATTTAATGATTACTCTTGGTGATGATTTGTTACTACGATTTAAGAACAAAGACTAGAGATAAAGACTTCTCTGAATTGAAAACCACTAGTGTGATAAGAATTTAATCACTGTAAATTAACATACCTAACACGGAATAAAAAAGTCATTTCATAAATGTACATTAAGCACTTTTGAGTACATGTTGTGTTAGCATGTACCATGTGTGCAGTTGGTTTGCTTTTTCACATGGATGTTGTTTCAATGTCACTGCCAGCCAAAGATACGTATGATTATTCCACCATTGAGCTTACGTCTTGAAACAAATCACAATATTGTGGAGAAAGAACATTTTTTATATTTGTTTCTTGTCCAACTGGCTTCACTATCTGGTCCAGAATCGAATATTTACAGACCACTGTCATTTAGGTGGCATAGTTCTCAGTGCGGTGTAAAAAACGAAGTAGCGTCTAGTTTGGATCCGATATTTGTAGCGGATCCGAAGAATCAATGTAATATTTGGGTACGCATGTATGCAGGTTACGTCAGTCATCTTTGTTGAAGGCATTTCCTGGTTAGTGAAATGATCAATACACTTAATGATACATGCATCATTTGAACGTTCCTGAAACAAATGTATTTCTAAACAATCACTTTCAAATTGAGTCAAGGCGTTAAATGTATCAATTATTCCACACAGCAACAGATGAGGTCAGATGTGTCAAACTAGCTCAAACCCGGAAGTATTTCCTTTTTTATTTAAAACAAAACTAGAAACGGACCACACCTTGCTTGTAAAGTTGAAGCATGTATCGTAGATTATTGGCTTCTTATCATAAAAAGATTCATGTTGGGTATGTTTAAAATTGGGCGAAATCACAATCTAGTGCAAAATTTGTATCAGCAGTGATACAAACAGTTTACATGTATGAAGATGCAAAATATTTATTTCTACTATTTCAAATTCATATTTGTTTTTCAAGAGTGGTCAGGTTAGATACTGAGACATTTTATTGACCAAGCAGTCTTTCCCAATCATAGACAGCGTTAGAATGACGTATCTATTAATAGTAACACGTCACAACTATTTCAAGTAAATCCGAAAATTGTGATCCGTTACGTTACCACAACCACTATCGACTGCATGGGACATCTATAACGTAACGAGCTGTCATTGAGCCCAGTTGTCCTATGTCTTCAGGGGAGGACTGACTGAACATGTTCCGTCAGAGATTTTTTATACAGAGAGTTTTTGAGAGACGATTTTTTTTTCTCTTCAGAGGATTTTCTGCTGCTATGGACAGTTTGAATATCAGGTGGGGCCTTTAGGAAAAAAACATATATGTTTATGTATTTATTGTATTAAGTTACAATTGTTATTGTGATGTTGGTCGATTTATTACATTGAGTCATTGTACGTCACAAACATCTATACCATCATGGCATTTTCTACAAAAAGAGCGGTACTATTATATCTATGTTTGCAGCCACTATCCAGCGATGGTGGGTCAACAATACCTCTGACTGACGCTATTCAGGACTCCTGTCTCCCAGAGCAGCTTCTACTGCGTGTAGCTGAGCATATTGGGGAGGGATTTGAAGCATTTGGCATAAGACTGGGCCTACCCAAGGCGTTCATAGACAGGTGTAAGATGTCTCACTCCTCGCATCACATGCAGGTGTTTCACATGATGTACACGTGGAGGCAGTTAGCTGGGACACAAGCTACGGTCAAGGTTCTGATGGATGTTCTGGCAGACTCTGTACACGTGTGTGATGTTGATGTGGACGCCGTTGCAAGGCTGTTGAAGACAATGGAGTAAATGTCATGGATTTGATTTATGATGTGAGTCTAAGGAAAAGCTATAACCAGAAGCTGCAGGAAACATGTACTTGTAGACGCTGCAGGCTGGAAAGATGTAGTTAGAGTCAGAATGTATTTTGGTCAAATATATTTCTCTTCACAGTTATATGGGCCGATATCATATCTACCGGCTTCACATCCTAATGAGAACTTTATTCATGAGTGTTCTATGCTCGTACACAGACAAGGGAGGATGGCTTCAGCACTATCATATTGAGACACATTCGCAACTTGTGTCCATGGTGGGATTTCTGTTGTGACGAATAAGAAACATATGTGTGTCAGATATACCCAGGTCAGCATGTTACTATAACGGCCATGAGAAGAGACCAGTAAACACTCTACGTTTTTAGAAACGTTGTTGTTCCTCCATCAAAAGATAGTGATCCTTTGTGTGTCCGTGTCAGTGTTTGTCTGTATCTAGCTTGTGAAGCTGTGTCATGGACATCTCCCTGCTGCTGAGGCTGAAATTTTACACACTGGAGATACGCCTGCTAACACTGGAGATACGCCTGCTAACACTGGAGATACGCCTGCTAACACTGAAGATACGCCTGCTGAGATAACTGCTGAGCTCTCGCTGTGTATAACAGTTACACGAGTGTCGCCGCAATGACGATCCGAACATTCTGACAATATGTCAGTGACAGGTTTTACGCTGGTCATTGATAAATCTGTCAGGTCACCACTGGGAACAACAGGAATTGCCTTCATATAGTGTCCCTAGTTGAGGTCATAGCTGCAAAACGTCTTCATATAAATGTATACGTAGCCTGTATATAAGTGTTAAATTGATATATTGCTTACATATATAATTATACTTTATGTTATAGAATATGAATAAAACATCATGTACAATGAGTATTTTGTTCTTGAAAATATGCGGAAGGGTATTTATTAAAAAAATATTTAAGGTGTTTATACAAACATGTCGTTGTTGCTATCCTATCGATAGCTTTTATGAGTTGTCGGGCTCTGGTTTTAAGGATCCGAGAAATTACACATGTGACCTTCACGAATGATCGATGATAACAACACATGTGAACCTGATCCGAAAATTACTCTCACAAACATTAGTGCTTCCATTACATATACACGCATATGGAGAGGCCCCGTAACTCGAACTCATCTCACCTCTAGACAATGCATCATTGTTGCATTATTTGCAAAGGAGTGGTCTCGAGGCTATGGAGATGATCCCGAGATTCTAAATGCTTGAGGAAGGTAAAATGATATTTTTCGGATTTAATCACAACTCTCAGATTGCTGCTAAAATCGGACCCATTGTTTGTATTGTGAACATTTATTGTTTGTAAACTATAAACTAGATTCGTTTAGGGTGAAAGAATCATTTTCATGGACAGTTAGCTGTCTTGACAAACAAGTCATGCAGCTGAAAGATTTACACAATCCGAAACTACAACAGAACACATGACACAGGACTCGTTATATGATCCGAACTTTGCGAATCCGAGTCCATGAGCTGCAAATTAACTATACCTCAGAAGATGTTGACTGGAACAAGCAAAGTAGTGGCTGAAATGTCCTCAGCGGATAACGATCAATGCTGTCCTCGCGTTCATCTTACTAGTTCGGAGTGATTCCAGTTTTGCAGTACTGGCCCACTTAGACGCCATGCCACAATGTAACATGGTCACACCAGTCACACACAGTATACCAGCCGGTGCTTATTAACTAAATACCGGGCGCCAGCAGAGTAACAACAAGAGCCGTCTTTCAGTGTATTTCTATGTTTGGCAGATGAGGATCGAACCACGAACCATCGACTCTCCGGGAAGACGCCCTGTCCACTACACCACGAAGGCAGACATGTATAGCGACATGAGGGACAATATAGTTTATAGGGAATTATTGTGAGTGAGTGAGTGAGATTAGCTTTACGCCGCACTCAGCAATATTCCCGCTCAGGTGGTGGTCTGTAAATAATCGAGTCTGGACCAGACAATCCCGTGATCAACTGTATGAACATCGATGTACGGATTTGGATACGTGTCAACCAAGTCAGCGAGCCAAACCACCCGATCCCGTTAGTCTCCTCTTACGACAAGCATGGGTTACAAAAGACCAATTCTAGCTGGATTTTCACGGGTATAGGAAATTATACTTCATATGTATTGTCATATGGTATGACACACAGACATCAACTGAACATCTAATAGTGCATTAAAAACCACTAAACATATACTACAATATATAGACTCAAAGCAGTCGAGTCAGTTATAAGCACGATCCGACAAATAAGTTGACAGGAGATAACATTATCACAAGGGACATAGAACCCTCCAGCTTATAGCTGTCTCCAATAGCAACTGTGACTATTGTCATGGATAGATATGATTCATATAGGTTTTACATATTTTCTGTTAATGAATGTGCATTACACAGTTTCAGCTTGGAAGTCACATTTAAAAGCTTTAGTCCTGTCTGAAGAAACATCCAGTTTAAATGTTATCAATTGTAAGTGTTGGGGTATTTCTATTTTGCTTTGTAGGGTAATTTTGTGTGTGTGTCCGTGCGTGCGTGTGTGTGGTGTTTGGTTCTGGTTTGGTATGTTTTGTTTTTTTTTTTGTTTGTTTGTTTTACTTGTTTCATAAAAGTGTGTGATTGGGGTATGGGTGTCACGTGACGTTATGGGGAAGTTCAAGAACCCCATCAGAATTGGAATTAACTGAAATGGTCACTGACACAAGTCATCATGACATTACATGCTGACCAAATAATATAGTAGATGGAAGAGATCCACTCACTTCGCGAAACCAAATCAGCTGTAATAGCAAGTTCATGTACTTCACTTCCAAAATATGGTGCTGGGATGAGATAACATCCTGCTGATCCTAGTTCATATCACTGTCATGAACCATCCGTGTTATCACAGCAGATATTTACAGATTGGCTGTGATTAGCTGGCGGATCCGAAGAATATTTTAGCCCTGGGTTTATGTATATGCAATTTAAAGACCCGTCTAAGCACCATCAATCAGTTGGGAAATCCGACAAATATGGGGCTTGAATTTACATGTACTTATTGACCTGAGTGTATATAACCGCCAATCTGTCCAGCACAATAAGTACCTGAAAAACCTTTCATTGATGCGGCAGTTTTTATAAATGTCCATCAAATTTGTATCCATATTTTCAAAACACCTATCCATATTTTAAAAACACTCGACTTAATAAAAGTCCTCTTCAAAGAGGTTTTCATGTATGCACGTCAACTGGTGGATCCGAAGAATGATTCAACCAATGAGAGCTGTCGAGTTATTCATATGCATTTCACAGACCCCAGTCGGCGCATGTCCACTGAGACACCAACACTGGACAGCTACGTCGCTCTCTCAGTTGACTCAGTGGTCTTACTTACACAGGGAGGTAGAAGGAACGGAACAACTGTTGTTCATTTGGTCGGCTATGTAGGATGGCTTTTCAGTGGCTAATATGCTGTAGCCAAGCATGTCACCAGGTACGTTGTTGACATACTTATACAGTCAATGATTGCGTGAAGTGTAATTTGTATGTACGTAAATGTAAGAAAACGTCCCAATGTCTCTGTTCATTTTGTCTTACTATCCACCTTGAACTATTAATTGATCGTTACACGTAACTACAATAACATAGTAAGCTTTATGTAAACATCAGAATTGAGGATTCTATCATATTTTGTACATACAGAGTATTCCCTGTTTTACCTCGGATCCGAATATCTTCACACAATCACGTCACGGGGACACATATTTTAATCCCCGTTCTACAAAAAACAAATACCATAATTTGTTTAAACGCAAATGTGTCTCTCCCCGAAAATCTAAATGTGTCTAAACGCCCCACTGTCTCTGTGTCTGTTCATCTTGTGTCTCTGTCCATTCTGAACTATTAACTGATTGTTATACTTAACTACAATGACATTAAAGCTTTATGTATACATCAGAATGTAGGATAATATCCCATGTTTTACATACAGAGTTTTTACTGACATACCGAGGATCCGAATATCTTCACGAAGTACACGTCACAGGGACACATATTTAAATCCGGGTTCAGTGAAAACAAATACCAGCATCACCTATTGTAACACCATCATAACACGTGTATGCTTGATCAATCTTTTTTCCCCTTATCTGCGTATCGAGCATTGTCAATGCAGGTCATATTGTGCACATCTCGCATCATTTTATGATCTTATTGTATTATGATCAGCAAATCTTTACCAAGAGACATAGACATAATTACCTCCCTTGCATCACAGGTTTTGAAGGCGACTGATGAGTTGGATGAGGAGATTACAAGGAAGGACATAACAGATGTAATGCCGGATCGTCGTGTAAGTTGAGTGTAGAATACAGCACAGAATGTTCCTACCCATGTACAATTACATTTCTACTGATTGTTATATGTTTAACATGTACTTATGTTTCAATGTGGTGGACATACATGGGACAAAAACCTTCATCTTTAATAGGAATTATAAGACAACATAACAACTCCAACAATCAGCAAAAGGAAAATAACAGCCCTGAGTGTTATGAATGACTTAAACGTGATATGTTCATACAATCAGTTGTCACAATTACACAGTTTCGTATAGTTATTCGCATTTGTTTCAAAACTGCATCATACGAACTTAATATGTGCTGAACATTTCATTGCCCTTACTTTTACTTCAAAGCACATTTTCCTTTCTCAAAATGAACATATCATTGTTTCAGTGTTCAAGAGAGGACTGGGCCAGTCATCTGACAGAAGAACAACGGATGGCTCCTGTGACAGAGAGAGTTGTGTTGCTGGTGTCGGAGTGCCTGGGTGAAGGTTGGGAGACGGTCGGACTCCGACTGGGACTGTCCTATGCTTGTGTACAGAGGTGTAAACTGCCTCGCTGTATGCTGGACAAGTGGAGGATGAAGGAGGGTGGGAAGGCTACAGCGGACGTGCTGGTGAATGTCCTCCAGGAGAGTGTGTATACCTGTACAGTGGACATGTTTGCTGTTGTCAGGTGTTTTCAACACACTGCCTAATATTCACAACATATATCACCGGTAGGCGCTGCAAAGATGAGGATCACATTTGTTCAAGACCATTGACTGTGTCGCATCTGGATGTATGAAGAACATGTACAATGGAACTTAATTACGTTAGAGATTACTATTACTGATCATCTCCTGTGTTAAGTTATGTCTAAGTTATGAAGTTACTAACCTGTTGCAAAATACCTGTTGCTGCTATTTGTGTGTATATATACAGATTTTCACTTGGGTTGGTATCATTTCCAACAACTAATTCATTTAACGTTGGAACTAATTTGGGTTCAGGGCACATTGATATTTGATCAGTTTAGTGACCATTGCTGGTGAACATTTGTTACTATGATTTGATATATTTACGGAAACCTTCACTCGAATTAAAGACGTCTCTGAATTGTAAGACGCTAATGTGACAAGAGTTCAAAATTTGTCAGTTTACAGGCATTTCCGGAAATATCATGTCATTTCAGAAACAGATATTGAGTATTTTGAGTATAAAGTATGCTGTTGTTTGTTTTTGTTTATCTCGTCAATGTCAACGTCAATGGTTGTGTGCGTTGATATGAGTGATTTAGATCCGGGACTTCAGCAACCAATCCTTGTCGTTAGAGGCGACTAACGGGATTGTGTGGCCAGGCTCGCTGACTTGGTTGATACATGTCTTTGTGTACCAAATGCGTAGATGACTCGATTACTCACAGACCGCTGTCATTAAGTTTGCACATCGCTGAGCGTAAACAACAAATAAAGAAGCGTTAGTTTGGATCCGATATTTGTGTCTCATTCGAAAAGTCGGTGTAATGTATGTGCACTCATGCGTACACATAGCATCTAACACCAACGAAGAGATACGTAGAGATTTCGCACAGTTTAAAACACTACTTTAATATGACAGCGTGATGACGGGAAGTACATTATGCCACTCAAAATATACTTCATGGATGCATGTACGTCATTAAGAATGCATACATTATTCGATCTATTTCAATATCATAGATGAAAAGTAAATGTTCTGATCAGCATAATTCACAATTTGTAATCTAATGTTAATTATGACATCTACAAAAAATATGTAATTTAGTCAAATGCATTTAACCTGACATATGCTATATTGTCGAACAAAATTATTTTATACCGAAACAGAAGTTCCTTTGGTTCTGGGATCCGATTGAAACTAACACTGTTTGGTTATTGCAAAACATCAGCAGTCGCCGTATATTATCAGAAACATGTTTGTCATTTATGCAACGCACATTAGTGAAATGTTGTAGAAAATTATCAAAAAGCATATCAACCCAAGTTCACTAACAGTTGGGTTTCTATAACATGTCGGGGCCATCATCAAAAAGATAACAAAGGATGCCCAGACATTATTTTCATTTCTAAATAATGATCCACTGAATTTCACAAGACAGCATGTGCTGTATATTATTTTTATATACAGAGTATCTGAAACAGCAATAGTTACAAGCAAACATTACCAAAGCAGTTCTGAATCCGAATCTTATGGAAAATATTACACAGACATTAATTGTGATCATAACAATAAAAAACAATATAATTCTTTAGAAAAAATAATGAACTACTGATTTTCATAAACAGAAGCGACAAAACCTTTTCCACATTAATAAGAAATCTCAGCTAAAAAGCAGAGTCGATGATACAATTGTGACTGAATCATGAGTATGTGTAAGCTTCAGCAGAATTCTAGCTGTACGATCTTGTTTGTAAACAATCGAGTCTGGACCAGACAATCAAGTGATTATCACCATGCGATACGATGACAGAGCATGGGTTTATGCATTATTCTAAGATGCTTAGCGCTTAGAACAATCGAACAAAAAATACATTATCAGACAATAAAGGTATAGTTTTTTGATGACGTAACAATTGAATGACGTTATCCCGTCACTGCGCTATTCTAGTGTGCCCCCTCGTAATCGAACCATTTTACATTACGTCACAATGTAAGCGACGTCACGATGCATGTCAGTTGTCATCGCCTCGTACAACCTCATACAGTAAACTACTGCGTTGCATCCCGTTTTTGGTTTGCAGTTGCTTCACTCACCTAACATCACTGGTGGAAACATCACGTTTATGTTTTCTGACGTTTTAAATGTCTCAATTCGACTCGTAAGTTTTCAGCGACACGGTAACGTTCGCAATGTTTACATTCCACAATGCAATCGTGGAATGTCGCTAGACTACTCAGCTTCGTCTGGATGTACTGATCTAAACATACGTTGGTAGTAGAAATGCGACGTTCACATGGTTTACGTTAATCACAGATGTAATTAAAATCCTTTATAGAAGATATTTAATCCGAACGTAAACCGTCATGAAACTGTTTATCATTTGTTTTTCTGGTAACGTTCGTCTTAACGTAGGGGGGCAGACACATCAATAGAACAGCGCGCCCGTTAGCCCTGTGCGAGGATTCTTAATTTAGGTCACCGACACCGTCGTTTGTTTTCTGCCTTAAATTAATCGTAATTATCCTTAGAAAGAGTTAAATTTGCCATCTTAGAAAAGAAATACAGTTCACTCTACCACCATGTATAGTGTAATAAAACACACTTTCTCCCTGAACTATTATGACGTTAAAGCACTCGGACGCAAGCGTCCTCGTGCTTTAACTATAATAGTTCAGGGCAAAAGTGTGTTGTATTACTATACATGGAGGTAGAAACGAACTATGACTTTCTTAAAGTATGAAAATAATTGATGATACCAGGTGTTTCCTGTCCCACCCGATATAAATATATGCAAAGCGTAGTCAAATTGGTAACCTGAAAATATTTCGGAACGTATGGTATAAGTCAAAATAGTGACTTCCATCGGACATCGTTGTTGTCACTGATACGTTGAGTTGAGGTGTGAGTTAGATCATCAGTGCTCCTTCAACACGGCGACGACACCCCACATGTCTATATTGCACACCTGTAGACTCTGCTGTAGGATCATCATCATATTCCCCGCTGTAGCCTCCTGACCTTCCTTCCTCCTCCACGTGTTCAACATGGCAAAGATCTGCGTCACACAGGTAGAGTGAGTCATCTTGCACCTCTTTACACGCACATAAGTCAGCCCTAGACGGACGCCCACCGCCTCCCAACCTTCCCCTTGGTTCTCCGACACAAGCAGCAATGTCTTCTCTGTCAGGTGTTTTTCTCTTCCTCCGACAGCTGATTCCGCCAGTCTGTATTTGAAGGGACAGGCTAGAATATACAGAAAAGTTCTGATAGAGGTATGATCAACCCAATGTTGCATGTAATTCAGCATTACTACATGAGAAATTTTTATACCTGCTCGGCAAGTACTACCATTATTAAATAGTAGTGGACAAAACCATATACAGTGACGCTGTTAATGTGAATCTCTCAATCAATTTACGTTTAATTGTTTTTTTATGTCCTGGGTCCTAGGTCCTCAGGGTTTAGGGACTGCTCGGCAAACACTACCATTACTAAATAGAAGTGGACAAAACCATATAAAGTGACACTGTCATTGTCAATATCTCATATAATGATTTCTTTCCGCTTTACTTCTTGTCTGGATACCGTGGCCAAATCTTCAGTTGTGTTTGGTGTGTTTAAAGTGTACTTTCATGAATAGCCACGCCAAATATATATTCGTTAAGTGTTTAGATTAATTAATAAAGCCAATTATCCTATTTTGTAATTTCTTCTGAAACAACAGCAAATAGCCCCCATCGTTTGCATGTCAGAGAATCGTCCTGTCCTAGAGATGAAACACCTTGTACGATGGTTACCTACTGGTCACCTTTCAGCGCCTGCACGTTGAGATACTGACTGCTAGTGACGAGCTAGATTCGAGATACTGTATTAATAGATCCATATCATTGCGACACACGGAAGTTCAAAACTTTTCAATGGATCCGACATGTGCTGCTTCAGTTATGCTTCTTTGACCATTGTGTCAACAACAAAACTAATGTCTGTCTCTATGAAATCCATCCATTCACATGCACCTTATAGTTTAAATTACCAGCAGTACGATGAAACTGTGTCACGATCCGAAAACTTAGACACACTGATATGCTGTCTTCTGTTAACGAGAGTTAACTTGCACGGATCCGAACTTTAACCATATTCTGTATACACCTCGCAAAGTATACACCTGGAAAAAAGTATTGCAACACCTTCCTTTTTCAATGACATTTCGCTGCATAGATGCCGCCAATTGATGCAAATGGTAATGCATTGTTAAAAGAGTGTGTATTTGAATAAAAAATGACGACATTAATGTCCAGTTGATATTCACTTCAATGATTTAATTGCTGTTACAAATACTGGGTAAATTGGGTAAAACGTACACTGGGAAAGTATGGGGTTAGCAAGACAGTACATGGGTTCACACACGTGTAATGCATATCTCACCCTAGGGCACGAAAGAATTTTACCAAAACATGTGATAATGCCAGTATCGTGTGTAACCACCTCCCGCCAGGACAACCGATTGAAGACGCTCTCTCACAGAGTCCACCAGACGCTGTATCTGTCTTCGAGGTAGGCTATTCCACTCCTGGTGGAGAGCAAGTTCCAAGTCTGCAAGATTCTGAACTGGTGGAACCCTCTCACGCTCACGGCGTCCTAAAATGCCCCAAACTGGCTCAATTGGATTGAGATCTCGACTTCGTGCTGGCCATGGTAACGTTGTGATTGCTTCCTGGCGTAAGTAATCCGTCACTGCCCGACTTCTATGGGGCCTTGCGTTGTCATCCATGTACACTGGCCTTGTGAGAATAGAGTGATTGTCAAAGTGTGACACAACAACCCTCTCCAAGATCTCCCTCTGGTATCTTTGGCAAGTAAGATTACCCCTCACAGAGACAAGCTGAAGCTTACAGTCGTAAGACAGACAACCTCACACCATAATCGACCCGCCAACATATGGAACCTGCTCCGGAATGTTCCTCTGTGCATATGCCGTGTTTCTACGACGCCATACACGTGCTCTGCGATCCACCATGTACAGAAGAAAACGACTTTCATCAGACCAGTGAACCTTTCTCCAGGATGCCAGGTTCCAGCCACGACGTGCTCTACACCAAGCTAAAGTGCGGCTTTGCGTCCATCTGTTAACAGGGGTCGTGTTATTGGTCGTCTAGCACGATATCTCACAGCTTTCAACCGGTTTCTGACCGTCCTGTGGGAAAATTGCCTGTTTGGGCAACCAGTCCCTTTTCAACACCGTACTTGTAGCAAATGGATTACGGCGTACATGTCTCATCAGAACTACGTCTTCTCTTGCAGATGTGCACCGGGGTCTACCTGAGCGATGCCTGTCCCTTACATCTGCTGTTTGCTGGTGTTTTCGTACCAACCTACTGGTTGTGGAAGGATGATGACCAACTTGGATAACAATTTGTCTCAAAGACATTCCAGCATTTCTCATGCCAATTATCTGACATCTTTTAGCATTTAACAACTGAGGGGGACCCATTTCATCAGTTATTGTCTACTCCAGTGCTTTGGTGTGATGATAACACGTTGCAATGATGAATGGCCCAAACGTGCTTTTCAGAATAAGAAGAGTCTACGTATTCAACGGGTTGCAGCTGCAGCAGGTGTAGCGCAAATATCCATTGTGATCATGTAGGGTGAGCATATCATATCTGTAAACCGTGCATCAGTCTGTGTAACAATATTTTATATTTCGGCAATTGATTCTGGTGTTGCGATACTTTTTTGCAGGTGTATATAATTATTTATTGTTACAATATAGATTCACGTCAATGACAGTTATGAATGATCCTCAGAGATTAATAGGGCTGGCAATGATGATCGATAATCGGAAACATGGTCGAATTTCTTAACTTTTAACAAATTTAGGACTTAAATCATGGTCTGCTTCTAAATTATGTTGAGAGTGATGTTTTGTTAATGATCCATGCCAAAACATGTCATCACTCACTAGCGAAGTGAAATAGTCATTTCTGGCATTTTTGCTCAAAGTTCCGATATTATCGATTATCGATCGATACATAGTTAATGATTATCAGTCTCTATGATCTAATTCGATAGCCCGTTCTACACCTTAATATATACGTTTTCAACACAATTTAGCCTGGTACGCCTAATGGAACCTGTTTGACAGCTAATCAGATGATTATTCTCTAGTTTTATGTTTATCATCCTATTTACACCTAAATGATATACTGATATATCACCTCTTTACGAACACATGGTACCATCGCTATTTGATCGTGATTCATAAACACATGCTGATGATGTAGTGGAAAACATACAAGTGACTCTGCACTTGACAGAGGTTTCTGGGGGATGTGGGGAGGTTTTTGTCGGAGTCCAACCGGGAATATAAGTTATGAAAATTGGAGACATCATATTTTGTCTTCAGACTTGCTGACTTGCTTGACAGATGTCCCTGATCCCCACGGTGCTGATGATCCAGTGATCAACAGCATGAGCATCGTTCTGCGCAATTGCGAACCGATGACATGTGTCAACCTAGTCAGCCAGTCTGACCTCCCGATCCCGTTGGTCACCTGTTACGACAAGCATGGGTTACTGAAGATCAATATTCTAACCCGGACCTTCACGGGTCCGATCCCCATGGTGTAGATGGATGCTCATAATGTCAATCACTGGTTGTTGGTTTTCAGATTCAACTATACAAAGAACGTCATATAGCTGGAGTACTACCGAGTGTGGAATTGAATAACAAACACAAGAGCACCAACTCCCTTGTGACTCATAGATAGTTTGTGAAGTTAATAATGCTCGGATTCCTATGTAACACACCTTCGCCACAAACCAGGTCACTGTGCTTGACTGTGATTCGATCAACAGGTCACATGATCACATTCGGTTGTATATCTAGTTAGCTGAGCCCGGTCTCATATCACAAGTGGACGACGCGTAAAGGAAGGACACATTTCAGGAGGACAGTCAATGTTCGTTACGAGGAGTTTGTTACTGTGTTCAAAGTATACAGTGAGGAGCAATTCGACTCGTGAGGTAATACAGTGAATGTATTAACGGATTTTATACGTTAATAATCTTGAAAGGTGAGTATTATTTTTTCAGTTGGCTGTATCTTGGGTGTAGCAAAGATTCAGTTCTCACAGAGACCTTTTAACAACACACGTTGCAGAATGATAACTCACTTGAATATGAAATAGGGTTATTTATGTTAACAAAACCAAAAATACTGCTTTTGCAGCAGAAGTTGTGCCTGCTGTTTTTTCTTTGTATAAGTTGTATCTATGAATAGCCTGGGTATTCCAGATCAATAGATACCCGTGTGTGCATTTCTTCCTGGTACAGGTGAGTACATTCAGATTAGTGTGTAACGGAGAAGTGCCCTTAACGAGGGCATACCAAGACGGTCTCCAGTCGCCTCCCAGCTTTCTTCTGGCTGGGAATAGTTGTTAAAAGCACAGAGTATTTAACATTATCTATCCGAGGTATTTAATATCATCTCCCAAACATGTTGTGACAAGCGTGTGAGAAGCTGCATTATACTTCCTGGTCATAGACCAATGAGATCAGGGTTAGAATTGATCTTCAGCAACCCGTGTTTGTCGTAAGAGGCGACTAACGGGATCAGGTTGTCAGGCTCGCTGACTCGGTTGACACATGTCAGTGTATCTCAGTTGTGTAGATCGATGATCATGATGTTGATCACGGGATTGTCTGGCCCAGACTCGATTAATTAGACCGCCGGCATATAGCTGGAGTATTGCTGAGTGCGGCGTAAAACAACGAACCAGCCAACCTGGTGGCAGTCAGTAATATTCCAGCTATATGACGACGGCTTGTAAATAATTACGGCTGGACCAACTTTCAAGCATATCTAAACAGTCAATGCTACAAGTTCAATTTCACTTACCACGAGTTGAGTGAGTGTTATGGCTTCTCTACTGTTAAATCATTTAAATAGTAGTTTATGGCCCTAGAAATATGTCTCACAAAAATTCACGCTATAAAGATCTTTGTCGCTTTAATGTAATGCCCACGCAACATAATCGTACATGCCTTTATGACCGCTTCAATGGACAGCACGTCGGTGAAATTCAGAGGTACGAGCCCCGACCGTGTCATTCCAACAGACGCTAAAACATGGTACTTGTTATTACCTTTCCTGGTGCTCGGCATTAGGGGGATACAGTAAGGATGGGTCTCCTCGGAGAAAGGGGGTCAGAAGGGTAGTCTTGTGGTTAAACATTAAACATATGGTTAAACAGTATCACCTAAATGTGTAATATATATCTCTCTCTCTCTCTCTCTCTCTCTCTCTCTCTCTCTCTCTCTCTCTCTCTCTCTCTCTCTCTCTCTCTCTCTCTCTCTCTCTCTCTCTCTCTCTCTCTCTCTCTCTCTCTCTCTCTCTCTCTCTCTCTCTCTCTCTCTCTCTCTCTCTCTCTCTCTCTCTCTCTCTCTCTCTCTCTCTCTCTCTCTCTCTCTCTCTCTCTCTCTCCCTCTTACACACACACACACACACATTGTGGATTATATCAAACAAGGGTTAACTTCTTCAAGCTCGGATCGTATGAGATAACCTCGTTTTGAAACATGTACACAAGTTCAAGCAAGTCTTGAAAAAATATGATACATGCCGCTATCACGTGGCGTGCTGGATTGGGTATAAACCGGTTATACAGTATATTTGTTTAATGCGATAGTAGGATATTTATCTTGATACACAGGTTCACAACACAAGAAAACACTGTTTTGATCGTAAAACTCGGATCCCTAATTTGTGTGTAGGTAAACTGACATGATTGGGTATTCAATATACCATTACAAATGTTCATTTCGACCTCATCATATACGCATTCTACATCGGAATATTTCAACATATCTGCATACATTCTATGCGAATATGAATGTATGAAATGTTTGGATAGCCAGTACATATGCAGGCAACATGAATTTATGTCATGTGACCATTACACATGTTCATTTCTACCTCATCATATACTCAGTCTACATCGGAATATTTCAACATATCTACATACATTCTGTGCGAATAAGAATGTATGAAATATGGTTCTAAACCACCATTTCAATCTCATCACAGGCCCCGTCTATAAATAACAGTTTTTATGTTATATGCATAAATTCAGCTGGTGTATGAAATGATCGGTTTTAGCCCAGTGTTGGACATGAAGCTTGCAGATTGAGTTACTGCATGCACAAGTTCACTCCACTTTGACCAGGTGTGATATGTGCTTATTAATGATAAGTTTACATGTTAATTTCATTGTATGAATTGACAACGTTATCTATTTGAGAGAATTCTAATTCCTACAGGCGTTGAGCTATGACTGTACCCCTGACTGGAACATACAGTTCAGTACTGAATTGGATTCCATTGACAGAGAGAGTCACATGACAGAAGACATAACAGAATGTTTGTTTGGAATTTCTGTAAAATAAAACTGGTCTTTCTTTCTGTTATTTAAGTATATAGAAATAACAGAATATTGGTAATATCTGAATCCAAGAATATCTTCATTTATTTCACTTCACGGATAGGCATTTATGGATAACTTTAAATGAATAGATATTTATGGATATCTGAATAGCTGTCATATGAAATATGGAACATACGTTTCCCATGACAAATATATAGTGATGAAAACAGAAGATCACTACATCTGTCCACACAAAGGCATCATATCTGTTACACCTGACCATTCTCTTAAAGGCATGGTCTGTTTACAAAGAGAGGATTCCACTTAAGGTGGGTAAACCAAGTTATGGTTATTTGTTGGTTATTGAACGATATCAGATCGTTGATTTTCCTCAAAGCTGAATCAAACTTCTTGGCCAAATTACCTTGTTTGGATTTTGACAATTCGAACAGAAATTCTGACTGATTCAATTCGAGCAGACATTCTGATTCAAATATAAAAATAAGCAGATCCGCAAGAACATGAAAGGTTCGAATTAGCAAAAGTAATTGTTTATTATTACGGTCATATTTCACATATGTCTTCCTAATGTCTCTACCATATATCAATGGTTATCATTTATACAATGTATTTAAGACAGCCGAACAGTAATGCAGAGAATGATTGATACACACACATATTGTTCCAACTCTTACCTAAATCCTACCATTAAAAGCACACGGTTTCCTGTGGTTTCTAAAATCAGTGGATCACTAAGGTTTGATTATTCTATAGCATGTGCCAGATAGCCACGTGCATTGTGTGGACATCGTTCCTTCAACTTTTCTATCAAACAAACGTGCACAGTATGATGAAAACTCATAACATGCAGATCTCATGATCATACTGTTGGATCAAACGAACACAGCTGTCGCTTCTATTTCACAACTTGCTTCTAGGTCCACATTTCTTTACATTTTCGAAATGATATCATTGGTATATTTCTCGCATTCTCAGACTGTTCAAAAGTATAAAGGAAATGTAGTTATGATTATCGATCCTTTCAAAATAGAAATTCATAAAGCTCGGATACTGAATGTAACACGCCTTCCTTGTACACTATGACATGATGCTTGTCTGTGATTGGATAACACAAGTCGCAGGTCACCAATCGGGTATATATGGAGGACACACTTAGGTACCCTGACAGACAGCGTTCATTATGACACCATCAAGAAGTTTCTACTGCATTCAGCGTTGCTACCTAAGTGAACGGATTGACGGTTGGGTAACGATCTTTAAATGTGAGTAGTTGAACATGAATGTATAGTACTTGTAGCGGATATTCACTGAGCTCAGACGAATCTGTTTTTAATGCACCTTGACCTTATGACAGAACGAATGTAAGGTTGAAGTTGAAATCATATTGTTTCCATTTATAAACCCATGCCATACTCATTTTTGAGGTGATTGTCTTAAAAATATTCATGTTGTTAATTAATTGTATGAGTTGTATCTAATTATAGCTTGGGTTTTTCCAGGTCAATTCATATCACTGTGCGCATTCCCTACATGTTCATTCAAAACTATCGGACTGATGATATTACACAGTTCAGATAACTGCCCGTTGGGCTCAATCCAGTCCCCTTCACACATTGTTCATCTTATTGTTTCAGTGACAATCTATAGCACTAAATGTCCTATGTATCCAATGATCAACGTTTAAACATGATCGTTACTCAGTTTATCAACTTACATTTATAGAAGACGTTAAAATTGTTTCCCCGGGTGCCTTCTGGTGCACATGCATGTTTAACGCTGAATGTCCTAATGTAATCACTGATCAACGTTAAAACATGATTGTTACTCAAGATATATCAACTGAAAATTTACAGAAGACGGTGTTCCCTCAGGTTATTCGTGGTGCACATGCATGTTTACTGTAAATTCTGTAAACGACCTACCAAGCATTAACATGAAATATTGGAACGAATCTATTTCAAGAAACATTAATCACATTATATAAAATTAATCACATATATTGCAGTAATTTGTATCAATGTCCCAACTAACCTGAGGCCTCCGTACATTTGGAAATAGCACAATGGATGCCATTTATTCAATTACAAGTATCGCATCCGATATGCCCAGAAACAAAAACCATACACACCGTTAGAGCGTTAACGCAATGATTCATGTGATTTCTAAAATCTCGGATCAGTAAAGTAAGTACAGATAGATTATTTACTCGGGAGTAGTAAACACATACGTCTCTTTGAACACACCAGTCAAACAAATAAGAATGATATGATATCAAATGAAAATGCTTAACATTCGGACCTGTTAAGATATGCATGTGGTCATGTCATCATTCTGTTGTGGTCGATCACATGTCTACAAGGTTCCTTCAATTTTCAGAACTTATGCAGGAGTGAACATGTCCTGTACATTACATGTTCAAATGAACTTTCTTATGAAACGGTATCAGGAACATTTCTGAAATGTCACACACAGCAAGGGATGTAGTTGGCAGGTGCTTTCACACAAGCGTTCATGAATGATGGTACCCTCAGATATGTGATACAGTTTTGGAATCGATTAAGTTTTCATTCTCGTTTGAACGTTAACACAATGATTCATGGGATTTCTAAAACCTCGGATCAGTAAAGCGAGTAGAGATAGGTCATTCACTTGGATCTACCAAACACCCATGTGTATTGTGAAGAAATAGTTTTCTCCACACATTAATCAAACAAATGCTATCAGATATTTGTTCATAACATTCGGATCGGTTCAGACACGCCCACTGGGCTCATGAGAATGTGACTTGATATCCACTTGATCACACTATCATTCTGTTGGGTCGATCAAATCTATACAGGGTTCCTTTCTATTTCACAACTTGTTTGTGTGTCCACATTTCTTTACATATTCGAAAGGATATCCCGAATATACTTCCCGCATTGTAAGACTTGTTAAACGGATATAGGAATGAAGTTATGGCAATAGATTCCTTTCAAAATAGAAATTCATAAAGCTCGGATACTGAAGGTAACACGCCTTCCTTGTACACTATGACATCATGCTTGACTGTGATTGGATGACACAAGTCACATGTCCCCAGTCGGGTATATATGGAGGACACACTTCACTTTGCTGTCATGACAGCGTTCGTTATAACATGGACAAGAAGCTCCTTACTGTGTTTGGCCGGGGTACTTTTGAGTAATTAGGCTCTGTGAGTTCATGAAGAGAATGGATTAACGGATGAGATTTGTAACCGACCTGGAGATGTGAGTAGTTGAACATAAATGTTTAGCATTTCAAGTGAACATTCACTAATATCCGACGGATCTCATAACAATGCATCTTGATTTTATGACAGAACGAAAGTAAGGTTGAAGTTGAAATCATATTGTTTCCATTAATAAGCTTCTAACATACGCCTTTTTGTGGTGGTAGTCTTATAAATATGCATGCTACTATTTTTGCATGAATTGTATCTATTTTAAGCTTGTGTTTTCCATATCTAGGTTGTATATTGCATATCACCTGATCTCGTCAGTTTTAAACCTTACCCTCATTAACGTATAAATGCGTCTGATTTCTATGTAAATTGGATCAGTAAAGCTGATAGAGATAGAATATTTAATCTAAAATTGAAGTTGAAATCATTTTGTTTTCAGTTACAAGCTGATTACTTACTTTTGTTTGTTGTGATAGTCATAAAACAACATGCATGCTATTACTTTATTGTAGCTTTGGTTTTCCACATCTATACATATCATATTGCGTAGTCTTTTCTTTCACAATTCCAAATTATCGGATTGATGATATCGACATGCCTTCAAATGATTCCTCCATTGGATTCAAACTAGACCCCCGCACACACACACAAGTCCGGACTTGGGTGAAAAATACCACACGCACACAGAGATACTCACTCAGTGTATGTACGTCGCAAGGTACCTTCAATAACCTTACCGTCACTACGCTATATTAAGCCAGTACGATACGTCAACATGTTGGAGAAAGAGAGAAATAAACGCACAGACATCTCGTTTGAACGTTAACACAATGATTCATGAGTTTTCTAAAACTCGGATCAGTAAAGTTAGCAGAGATAGATTAATCACTAGATCTACCAAACACATACGTGTATTGTGAACATCACGAGATCTCATTATAATTCTGTTAGGGTAGATCGAATGAATACTGGAGCCCTTCTATTTCACAACTTGTTTGTGTGTCCACATGTTTGTACATTTTCGAAATGATATCACGATTATATTTCTTGCATTGTCAGAGATGTTAAAAGGGTAGAGGAAATATATTATGGTAATCGATTATCAGCTATTGTAAGATAATCACAAAGACATGGGTTTCCCTCAATAACTTGTCTCCATTAACAAACTTGTAACAAACTGCTTGTTTCTCGTTGTAGTTTTACAATTATGCATGCTATTATCTCCTTGTGTGAACTTGGGTTTTCCACATCATCAGCTCCATTGTGCAGATGCAGATGTTCAGTTTAGATACGCATCCTGTGGACAACTTAACAACTAATAGATATTGGTAAATTATATCAACTTTTTTCTTTTTTCTTTTTTTGTATAGAGAACATTTAACTGACTAAGTGTCAGAGGGAACTGGAATAATGTCTCTGTACATAACAATAACATTTTAGATGAACAAAATAGGTTCTCAGTTACTAACAATATTTAACTGAGACACACTTATCCCAAAAATAAAGCACTTGCTAGTTGAAATCCAATTTTCAAGGACTGACAGTTTGGCACAAGCTTTATCATGTTTATTGCTCGTTTAACATGCTAAGCCACTGTCAAGAAATATTCCAACATCTCACGACTAATGAACTGCTTGCTGGTGAACATTTACTTGGTTGTTTTCACGTCTTATCATTAAAAGTTGTACATACTTTAATAAGCATACTTTAACTTTGTTAGGCAATGACTGATTTGTTTTCCTTTGTATTCGTTGCGTAAATCTCGTTTTGCTTTATAAAAAGGTTTACAAAACAGCACAGTCTGTGTGCGAAATCCGAATCGTAAGAGTAAGGCCATGGAGTTGTATAATGCTTGACTCGTACACGTGTTTTCAATGAAGATACTTCGTCTAGACATATTCATTGTCTACCCACCGGATTTTTCATGAGTTTATCTAGTCTCATTCTTTGAAGTTCTGACGGCGTCTTAGCGATGACAACAGCCTTATCCTCATTATTCTTGGACTCCATCTTGAAACGAAACCCCCAACGGTAAGGGGGAGACAATTCTTCCATAATGGAGACCACTAAAGAGAGAACCGACGAGCATACAAATTTACATTGCTGTTTGCAGTGTAGATTGGCGTTAGCATTTGTTCCATGCAATCTTTTACTTTTTGTTAATTCCCCTTTACACAAATAAGAAATATTGATTACATGAAAGTCTTTAATCAAATGATTATTCTGATTCACACAAGGTACGTCTAGATTTGCTGTGAAGGTATCTGCAATAAAAATCGGTACAGTTTATCTGTTTTGTTTTTGATTTTCGTTTAGCTTCGCACCCTTTCCCTGTGATAGAATTATGGGAAAATTATTTCTTATAGTTCTTTAATTTCAAAATGTGAGAAACATTGCGGTAATGCCAAATGAGCTTCAGTCCAGATTCCACAGTCTTTAAATAGCGCGTTATAGTGGGGAGAAAAGTGGTTGTGGGATGCTGACCTTGTTGATTGTGTGTCATGCGTGGATCCTTGCTCATCATATTAACCACTGTTTGTCTCACCCAGTTATGTCTGGCTGTCGTCACATAGCTGCTGCATATGCCATATATCCAGATCCTCCAATAGACAGTACTACGGTTTTGTTTTGGTTTTTTTTGTTTTTGTTTTTTTGTTTTTGTGTGTGTATGTTTTGCAATGATCGGTTTCAACACGTACATAAAACTTCTCGTGATGACCACGATAAAAAAACGTGAGTTTTTTTCACCCGTCTGATCCTGTGACTCATAAAAAACGACAACATTATTTTGAAGTTTTTGATAGTTATGGGTCAATGTACTTAAGATCAGTCAAATAATGACTGATTACCTCTACATTATGTTCACATCATTGAATATAATTATCATATCTAATTATGACATGGTGTGCAAAGGATAGTGACGACATTTTGAAAATACTAATGTCCTTGTTAAGTATAAAAAAGAGCGTATTTAACAATGAAAGGCTCTCGGATATCAAAGCAGACTGAATCGAAAGAGCTCGTAGTTTCCCTAAATATTTACACTAAAACATACTTATGAAACAGTGTTACAGGTATCCTGCCAATGAGGTTGTGATACCTTTCAATTATGTCACAATTTGCTTCCTTCTTTAGCGTATTTTCATGATCATCATTTGAGATTAGGGTGTAATCAGTATGGTATGTAAATCAATACCTACGGCTTGAAGAGTCAATACTATCTTAGAAGTGTCATAAAAACGTTGTAAGTTTGTGAATAAAACATACTATATCATACTTATGTACAGATCGTCACATCTCCAATAGCGCGTACCCTGCTGTACAAGGATGGGCGTAACCATAGAAACCTGGAGAGCCCGGATTGGACTACACAGCCAACCCAACAAGAGCCAGAAGACTACCACCACTCAGGGCATGACAACAGGAGGGGGCAGCTTCTCGTGTCGACCGCGGCACATTCTCATGGTCATCGGACTTCTGCTGCTTCTCAGTGGAAACGTAGAACTGAACCCAGGGCCGTCATCACGACGACAGCAGCCTCCGCAGCAGAACAACCCCTCGAAGTATGTGTGATATATTATATACATCAAAGTGACAGAACACTTTCCCCATCCATAATTAATGTCTTCAGATTAAATTGTACAGTTCCGACAACATTGTGAGTAACTTCATCATTCAGGAATAATCACCATTCCTGTTTTATCAGGATTAAATTATTTTTTTGGGAGAGACACACCATTTGAATGAATCGGTCATGTTTCATCACATCTAGAATATCAATTTATGTAGCATTTAGAAAAATGTAACTGTGGATAAATTTAAGGGAAAGGTGAAACCATTTCTGATTATGAATGAAAATCAAGTAATCTTCTGAAACAATTGACGCAAGGTTGGTTCCTGTGCCTGGAGGGGATAGGGCTCTTGTCATTTAGGTTCATGTTCATGTTAGCTTGAAACTGAGACACACCTTTTTCAGCCGACCGTATACCAACAAAGACGAATCATTCACCACCACGGAAGTGCTTGACATCCTCCAAAATCCTGACTTCAGCAGAGTCACCACCCAGCCTCCCGTAAAACCACGGGCAGGACAGGCCTTTCTCTATCACTTCACTGATGTCAACAAACGAGGTATCATCTTCTTTAATACCAGTTTGAAAAGACCTCACTGACTTTTAACGTGTGAGGGGGCGGTGGGGTAGCCTAGTGGTTAAAGCGCAGTCTAAGTAAACTTAGTCTCAGTATTATTCGTTACACTGCTATACTGAGTCTAACAAACCCTAGTAGAAGGTCGCGTATTGTAACGAATAATACTGAGCCTACATTCACTTAGACTGGGTTAAAGCGAAGGTCCGGGTTCGATTCCCCACATGGGTACAATGTGTGAAGCCAATATCTGGTGTCACCCGCCGTGTTATTGCTGCACTATTGCTAAAAGCAGCGTCAAACTAAACTCACTCATTTAACGTGTGATTTGTTATCTTGTTAAAAAATTAGTTTAAAAATTTAAAACCTCTTTGACAGGTGTAATGTCTGTAACGGTGTTTCCTCTTATACTGTCGTCATTATATCTAAACATGTTTAATTTAAAAAGGATATTATGTTTCTGATCAAAATATATTTACCTTTTGGAAATGTCCAATATTCCATTACATTCTATAAGATTTACATTTCTGGGCTGTCCTTGTGAAACAATGTCATTTACCTTCTCTCAAGTAGGAAAACTATTTAGTCTGTAAATTAATGATAATGCAGATGACTGGAGATGTGACCAATACCACTTCCACCATAATGCCACACGAGAACAACCCAAAGCAGATCCAAAGTTCAAGAAGTTGTTCTTTGTTATAAAGACCAGGGAAGGCAAGGACAAGAGGTTTAAGAAGCATGCCTATATTCATTTAGCAGAAGACAATCATCTTGTGCTATTCCAATACATTGGAGATGAGAGAATTGCTGAAGATCTTCCTCATGGTAACTCCAAGAATGCATCTGTTCCATACATTCGACTTTGTCCATCTGTAATCAGAGCCATCAAAGATGTTTCCAGCAATTTCACAGAAACTTTGACTTCTTTAAATCGGCAAGCAGCTACTTCAGATGTTCCAGAAGTATATAAACCACGGTCACGTCTTCACGTCATGAACACTAGATACAGGGGGCAAAAAGACTGCACAAAGGAAAATCACACCAACAGCCTGGACAAAACTGGAGAGCCTACGCTATACAATCTTGCAGTTGCTTTAAAGAAGGACACTGAAGTGGACAAGATAGTACCTGAGAAAGGAAAAAGGAAAAAACCGAAAAGGCTAAAGAATCTACAACACATAGTTCGAGCATCATCTGATTTCCCTGACAATCAGGATAATCTACGGCCGACAGAAGACAGTCACGTGATGCCAGTAAGAAATCCAAAGACACCTTTGGACTTTCGGTTAGTAGAATCAAACACAGCCTTATCTACTGCTGGCGTTGATAACACACAAGTGTTACACTCAGAAACGGGCGAAACAGATCATCTTCATCCTTTGACGTGTGATGGAGCAAACGTACCACAGACTATAAGCAGAGAAAAAACAGACCAAGGAGCCTCAGAAGTGGTTGATTTCCTTAAAACCATTCTCCAAGATCAATGTATTACCTCAAGCAATTCTATCTCTGCGAATGCTCCTTCGACACATGTAAAGGAAAACGAGTTGACATTTTCCTCATCCGAAGATGGCAGCTGTCAAATCACTTGTCAAGACAACAACAAGTCAAATTCAGACATCGCAGTACAGGCATCAGGAAAAGAAACTCCAGCGCTGGTAGAAAATGACAACAGTGAAAACACACAACCAGCTTCACTCGAAAACTTCATTCACGCCATTGTCAACGATGGCAGGCTTGGGAAGATTTTTCAGCTACTCCATCAAATTCAGAGTACATGGAATGTCAGTCAGCAGCAATCCTATTGTCAACACAGAGCCGATGAACACTGGGCTTTTGAGCATGAAGCATCAGCTCACAGATCATCTGGCAACTCCTGTATCAAAGATAACGGCTCACAGTGGCTTTCATCTTCTCTGCCTCTCACAGCTTCCACACTTATCACACAAGTGAAAAATCTATGGGAGTCTGATTTCAATTTGACCAGTGACCTTCTTCTCAAAACTGAAACTGTTCAACAATACACGAATTCAAATACCTTTCCACCTTTACTTGCATCATTAGTGTTAGGAGCATTTAAAATGCAAACAGACATTGTTGAGTTTATGGAAACTCTCAAAGAACGACCAGGGCATTTAAAACCTGCAGGCAACGATATCAGTGTAGAGGTCTCAAACGATGTACGCTTTAGCATTGGCAGATATACAGTGGTTGGACAGGACCTGATGAAGCTGAACAAATCATCATGGCTGGACGACAGCGTAAGTTATTCCTTGACTTGAAAATTTTCCATTGAATTCATTCAAGGGAATTTGGTGCCCTACACTGAGAACTGAATTTAAAAATAACATTACTTGACACTCAGATCGTGCTTGATATTAGCCGAACAAAATTAGTTTTGCTTGCACTGTGTGAAGTCATGTGTGAAAAATGTGATGGTTAAATGTAATTTTTCATCTGATGTCGTATTTAATGTCAGTAAGTGCAGTTTAGATTCGATTGTAATTATCGGTTGATGATATTCCTGATTCCTCCGTATATGCACATTGCAGACTGAAGCCCAATCATGCAAAAGTAGTCTAGGTTCTATGCTGTCACAAAGATGTTCTCTACTTTTATTCCACATAAAAGAACATCATGCTCTCATAAACTTTAACATTTTACAGGTGATCCATGCTTACCTATATCTGTTGGAAGACCGATTCTCTAAAGAAGGCACGAAAATATTCATCTTGGAATGTTTCGTTGCTGAATTCTGGGAAAAGAAGAATTATGGAGAGTGCTTGTATAAAGAGGTAGAGTTATCACTTTTTTGTCCAGTAAGATACTGGCATGTGAGTAGCATAACTACAGAATCGCGATCTCATGTTTCGTAGGTGCTTACACTCGTTGACTAGTCTAACAGCAGCAGCAATGTAACAGCATATGATGTCTGTATATTTTATTGTTGTTTTCATTGTAACTACATTTAATACATTTTGTGAATAATTCCAGGTAGCCCTGGTGGAGTACACGTGGATCCTGATGCCGATGTGTCGACACAGTCACTGGATACTGCTTGCTGCGAACATAAGAAATGGGGATGTTTGTGTGATTAACTCTATACCCTCAGAGGATACACAGAGAAATATTCTTCAGCACTGGAGGTAACAACTGGCAGATGTTGATAACAATACTATGAAAAGATGCTTGCTTATATCATTAGAGGATGTATGTATGGATGGATATAACTGCAGCACTGGAGAAAGAACCTGCCATTTTGTAAAAACGTGCTTGAAGAACCCGTTATTGTGATATCAATTGATGTAAGGTTGGGTGGAAAGTTGGAAGGAGGGTTGGGGGAGGGCTCGAGGGAGGGAGGGTTGATCATCTGAAATCGGAGACTAAATAATTTTGGAGGGTGACATACCTTTCTTATCATGTCAGCACGGCATATTCACAGAAGCAACATGCGGAATAATTGAAAGTGTCCCAATACAAATTATTTACAGGATCCTAGTATGGCATGTGTTACCGCCTATACAGTTATCACTGATCGAATGTTCCAGGGGCTTACTTCTCTTACTACAGAGGATATCATTTCTGCATTCAAGGTTACTATTCACTACAGTAGGGGTTATACACATTTTACCTTCGGCATGTGCGCAGTGGCCACATTTTGAAAAGGCGGATATCCTGGTTCATTATCAACCCCCCTAAAACAAATTTAAGAAAGAAAGTGTGTCGGATATCAAAGTAGACTGTCAATGCACTGATTAGTGTTTTCGGACAAACGTTATTCAGAATACGTTCACGGATTTGGTTGCAGGGCGTACATGGCCTGTAGAAGTCGGGAAACGAAAGAGAATCTTTCTACCTGGAGAGAGATCCAGTGTCCCGTCTTCCCACAAACTGACGGCAACAGCTGTGGTGTGCATATTCTTATGGTAAGTGAATGAAGCACGCATTTCTGGAGTAACACCTCACATAAATGTAAATATCTGTCACATTAGCAGTTGGGTATTGTTGGGGTTTTCTGGAGAAACAAAGTTTAAGTCTAAATCTATTTATTCCATTCGTTTTAGTTAGGTATGAGGAAGCAGCAAGAGAATACTACGCTAGGACTTTTCCCAACAATATGCCTTTGTGCCAGAGTAAAATTATAAAAACCATCTCTCGTTAAAAAGAAATTAAGTTGAGAATACAATATGTTTATTTAAATATGCTATCTGGTATAAAAATCATGATTAAAAAAGCAAGCATAATTTTGATTTTTTTTATGCTCAAAATATTTTAGTATTGCAGTCAAACGCCAACATTACAAATACATCTTTCAATTCAAATTAGATTCTCAGCAACATAGTCTGGCATACAGGTGATATTGTTAAAGGTGTCTCAAGGTATTATCATGCTACTTGCAGGCTGCTGAGGCATTGCTGTCAGGTGTCTGTCCTGCTGTCATGAGGAACTGTCACGTATCTGGATATCGGGAGTTTGTTAAACACCAACTTCTAGATGCAGCAGAGATGCATACAAATGACAATGAAGAAATCAACGTTCACTCACCCGAGGAGGTGGAAATCATAGAGATCCCCATTGACACAAGTGCCAGCAAACAAGACGTTGAGGCGGAAGATTTTCGGAAGAGGACATCCACACAAACATCTGTCATCGATGTCCACAATCAAAGTGTCATCTGTGAAGAACTAGTGGGAGATATTTCTAACATAGAGGTGGAACCTTCGACTGTCACGACACATGAACGATTAGATAAATGTGGAGGTTTGACTGACAACACAAACATTATTGTAACAGAGAGTATTCACATCAGTGAAAACACGGGATCAATGGAGATTACAGCAACAAGTGACATGGTGCCATCTGAACCGCATGATACAACACCAGGTAAGGGAGATAACTTTTTTCACATTATTACAGAGCTTGTGATTGTAGATTTCATAGTTTTATTTCTCAGCGATACAACTTTAATTAATTCCTTATTAGAATGAACAACAAGGTCATATTTAAACCTTACTGAGAATTCGATAAGGACAAACTTTATGGATGAACAACTTCTTTATTCTGATGATGCGACGTTTCGATACAGGTCCTTGCATCGTTGTCAAGCAAGTATGAGTCAGACAAAAACAACGAAAAAAACCCAGGGTGGTATATATATACTGTATATAATTAACAAGAACAACAAGAAGTTAATTGGAAGTACAGTAACAATGTGATGACAAGGGATTACAAAAGGAGAAGCTAGTGACAATGGATTACATTTAAAAGCCATTGGCACGTACACAGCAGCATGGGTGGGCATGTTTTTACAAGTTATACAAGCAGTTAGGGTTGGTTGATGAGTTCGTCGTATGCTGAGGGGATGAAATATCCTTGATTTCTGTTGATCAGGGGTTGGTATCGTTTGACGTGGATGGCTTCAGCTAATTTCCGTTTGGTAAAGTCAGCTTGGTCAGTATTGTGTATTCTGTCCAGTTGTTGTGTTGTAAAAACGACGTGTTGGCATCGTAAAGCTGACGACAAGTTTGTCACCCTCCACCCCGTCCAAGATCCAGACCAACTACTACAAAATCTTAACAGCCAACACCACCGCATCAAATTCACCATGGAACCAGAAACCAACAACAAACTGCCCTTCTTAGACGCCCTTGTGTCCCGCACCCCTACCAACACAGTCCAGATTACAGTTTACCGCAAGCCCACGCCTACCGACCAATATGTTCATTACCAGTCCAACCACCCACCACAGGTAAAGACTGGTGTAATATCCACATTTACAAGGAAAGCTAAGAACATCTGTTCTACTAATCTTCAAGAGGAAATAAACCATCTCAAAGAAGCGTTCATTAACCTCACTGATTATCCAACAATTAGTCAACAGGACATTTGTTTCAACCCTTTCACCATCAACTAAGACCAGAGCCAGCACCGATAAAAATCTCCATCCCCTACATTGGCAAGACCTCACACCAGATCAGCAGGCTCCTGAAGCAACAAGCCGATATATACACCACATTCTCCACTTCAAGAACTCTAAACAACCTTCTACAGGCCAACGGGCGTAACCACCTCAACAACGGAAAATCCAATCCCAAGGGTGTGGTTTACAAAATTGACTGTAACTGTGGACAATCATATATTGGCGAGACATATAGGCCAATCAACACCACAGTGAAAGAGAACCAGGCGTCAATAAACAAATCCGACAACAAATCAGTTATCTCAGAACACATTCAGACCAACCCCAATCACCAAATCAACTGGACCAGAATAGACAATACTGGCAACCAACTAAGCTGACTTTACCAAACGGAAATTAACTAAAGCCATCCACATCAAACGAACACCAACCCATGAGTAACAGAATTCAAGGTTATTTCATGCCCTCAGAATACGACGAACTCATCAACCAACCCTAACTGCTTGTACAACTTGTAAAAACATGCCAACCCATCCTGCTGTGTACGTGCCACTGGCTTCTAAATGTAATCCATTGTCACTAGCTTCCACTTGTAATCCCTTGTCATCACATTGTTACTGTACTTCCCAATTAACTTCAAGTTTTGTTTTTGTTATCCCCCGCAACGCGTTTTGTGGGGGGTATTAAAATGGACTCCGTCAGTGCGTCCGTCCGTCCGTGCACATTTGTCTTTTCCGGAGCAGAACTCTAAAACGGTTCAAAATTTCTTCAACACACTTGGCACATACAAAGATCTGGTGGTGTACTGGTGCCTTTTGGTAGTTTTGGAATTCTGAATGAAACATTTTTGGCGTTTCCAAGGCAACAAGTTCGACTTAGACTGAAATTAGTGGTAGTGCTCTTTTCCGGAGTAGAACTCTAAAACCGTTCACTATTTCTTCACCACACTTGGCACCTACATAGATCTGGTGATGTACTGGTGCCTTTTGGTAGTTTTGGAATTCTGAATGAAATATTTTTGGCGTTTCCAAGGCAACAAGTTCGACTTAGACTGAAATTAGTGGTAGTGCTCTTTTCCGGAGTAGAACTCTAAAACCGTTCACTATTTCTTCACCACACTTCGCACCTACATAGATCTGATGATGTACTGGTGCCTTTTGGTAGTTTTGGAATTCTGAATGAAACATTTTTGGCGTTTCCATGGCAACAAGTTCGACTTAGACTGAAATTAGTGGTAGTGCTCTTTTCCGGAGCTGAACCCACAACCGTTCACTATTTCTTCACCAAATTTGGCATCTACATAGATCTGGTGGTGTACTGGTGCCTTTTGGTAGTTTCGAAATTCTGAATAAAATATTTTTGGCGTTTCCATGGCAACAAGTTCGACTTAGACTGAAATTAGTGGTAGTGCTCTTTTCCGGAGCTAAACTCTAAAACCGTTCACTATTTCTTCACCAAACTTGGCACATAGATTGGTCTGGTGGTGTACTGATGCCTTTTGGTAGTTTTGGAATTCTGAATAAAATATGTTTTGCGTTTCCATGGCAACAAGTTTGACTTAGCCTGGAATTGGAGTAGTGCTCTTTTCCGGAGCAGAACTTTTAAAACCGTTCACTATTTCTTCACCACACTTGGCACATCGATAGATCTGGTGGTGTACTGGTGCCTTTTGGTAGTTTTGGAATTCTGAATAAAATATTTTTTGGCTTTTCCATGGCAACAAGTTTGGCTTAGCCTGAAATTAGTGATAGTGCCTCATTTCTGGAGCAGAACTTTAAAAACCTTTCAATACTCTCCTTCCACTTTTCTATATACACACCTAAGTATTTGACATAATCGTAACTCGTAGACATAATCATGAAGAGTATTTTGCCATTGCGGGGGATATTGATGCCTTTTTCTTCTTGTTTAAAGAAGTCCTGAGATTCAGACAAAATGGGATTTTGATGGTTGTATTTCATTATGTGGTTTTGTTTTTGTTTTGTTTTTGTTTTTTTTGGGGGGTTATGGTTTTTATCCCCCGCCGCGCGTTTAGCGCGAAGCGGAGGATATGGTATTAGGCTCCGTCCGTCCGTCCGTCCGTCCGTACGTACGTAGGAATTGGAATATCTTAAGAACCATTGACTGGATTCTTTTCATACTTGGTACCTAGGTTCATCACAGTATAAGAAAAGTCCCAGTCAGATTTGGTTCATATAGAGAACGCACGGCCCAGCCGATTTTGGTGAACTTCCAATAGTTTTCAAGGTCACGACGACACTTTGAAGATTTCAGCATGTTAGCCTGCATGTTAAGCTTGTCGGTGAGATATCTCAAGAACCATTCACTGGATTTTCTGCATGTTTGACACCAAGCTTTATATAGGGAAGGCGCAGGGCCCAGTTGATTTTGGTGACCTTCCCATAATTATCCCCCCGCAATGCGTTTTGAGAGGGATAATAAAATGGACTCCGTCCGTCCGTCCGTCCGTGCTTGCGTGCGTGCGTGCGTCCGTCTGTCCGTGCACATTTGTCTTTTCCGGAGCAGAACTCTAAAACCGTTTACTATTTCATCACCAAACTTGGCACATCGATAGATCTGGTGGTGTACTGGTGCCTTTTTGGTAGTTTTGAATTCTGAATAAAATATTTTTGGCGTTTCCATGGCAACAAGTTTGACATAGACTGAAATTGGTGATAGTGCTCCTTTCTGGAGCAGAACTTTTAAAACCTTTCAATACTCTCCTTCAATTTTTCTATATACACACCTAAATATCTGACATAATCATAACACGTAGACATAATAATGAAGAGTATTTTGCCATTGCGGGGGGATATTGATGACTTTGTCTTCTTGTTTTCAAAGTCACGACGACACTTCGAAGATTTTAGCATGTTAGCCTGCATGTTAAGCTTTAGTCTGTCGTACAGACCCTGAAGCAAATATATCCAATAAAGCCCACGCAAGTCTAGAAAATGTGGCAAGTCTAGATTTCCTCATTTTTCTGAAAATGAAGAAAATCTCAGGGCTCCTTTTCATTATATTTGTTTTTTTTATTATGAACTTTTTTCAGTAAAATATGTTCATTTCAGAGACTAGTTGTTGGTCTAGTTAAGCTTGTCAGCGAGATACCCCAACAACCGTTCACTGGATTTTCTTCATATTTGACACCAAGCTTCATATAGAGAAGATGCCGGGCCAAGTCGAGTTTGATGACCTTCACCTAAGTTTCAAGGTCACTGCGACACTTTGAAGATTTCCGTATGTTAAGATGCTAAGCAAGATATCTCAAGAAGGGTTCACTGGATTTTCTTCATAGATTTGCAAGACTTCTCTTGAATGTTTTTGGATAAGCAATTTCCCTATTACTATTTTTTGCATATTTCATACACAATGACGTTCATGTCACGGTCAAAGTGAGTCTTGAAAATATGTGTGTGCTTGAACAGCTTCAGAGCAGAGCAAAATATCAAGACAGGCTGACTGGCCACGTTTTTGTTGACACTTAACTTCATCTTAAACAACGACCTTCACTTTCATTACACTTTAAGTTTGATTTGATAATATGCGGCGGGGGATTATGTCACCTTAGTGACAACTGCTTGTTTTTTTGTATTTGTTTTTTTTGCGGGGGTCGGTCTGACTCATGCTTGCTTGACAACGATACAAGGATCTGTATCGAAACGTCGCATCATCCGAATAAAGAAGTTGTTTATGAATAGACTTGTCTCCTTATCTGATTCACCAACTTCTAAACATGCCACTCAAAGAAGTAACTGAAAAGAGAACACAATTACAGGGAGTTTTCAAAGCTGGTTCAAGTGACATCTAAACATGAGGTCTTTCAAAAGGAATTGTGTAATACATTCTCCACAGTACGACAATCATATGATAATAATAATAATACACTTATTCACTCACTCTCACTCTCCCACACACACACTCTCACTCACACTCTCTCACACACACACACCATTCTCACTCACTCACTCTCTCTCACACACACTCACTCTCACTCTCTCACTCATGCTATCTCCCACACACACACTCTCACTCACACTGTCTCTCTCAGACCCTCACTCTCACTCACTCATTCTCTATCACACTCACTCTCACTCTCTCTTTCACTCACTCTCACACACGCTCGCTCTCACTCACTCACTCTCTCACTTACACTCACTCTCACTCTTTCTCCCACACACACACTCACTCACACTTACTCGCTCTCACTCACTCTGTCTCACACACACACACACTCCCTCTCACTCTTACACACACACACTCACACTTTCCCACAGTCACTCTCCCTCACTCTCGACCGTAGCTGCGTCTTAAGGAGTCCAATAGCGACATTGCATATTTTGAACCAACTGGCATCGTTGTTACACATCACACATCCGTCATGTGATCATGTATTTCATACATATGTCTGTATATACATTTCTCACTACCTTACAGTTTGAGAAGTGTCTGGCACTTTTCATAATATCAGTATTCTTTTCAAAACATTTAACATTAATTTAGGTTCAGATGTAAAGTATTATATTGATATATTTCAGCTTCATGTATGCGTTTATGTTTTTGCAACATGTGAACTAGATATACTCATGATTCAATATTCGTCATAATACTTTTATTTTATTTCAGGATTGTGTCCAGAAGACATACGTTCATATTGTGAAGAACTATTTCAAAACCAAAAGTCTTCCTTTGTAGGCTTGACCCTTGTATGCTTCATGAAAGGACGTCTGCCATTAACGGCTCTTGATGACCAAGAAAATACTTCCCCACTGAAAGACTATATTAAATGGGGCTGCCAACTGTGTAATTGTGAGGCAACTACAAACGCCGAAATAAGGAATGCGTTCCTTGGATTAGAAAAGCTTGTCTTGACATCAGAACAGAACTCACTTGTCATACTTAGGAATACCGATATAAAAAGAGCGCTATCCACGGTGATTGCAGATCATCTTCAAGAATACATTGACATTATTGATCTAAAATTCATCTTCTTTCATATCAGGGTCAATGAACAAGATGGTGGTTTCTACGTGTGTCTAAAGGGGAAAATGGTTGAGGATTTGGCAAGACGATTTGCAAAAGAGGTTTTGCAAAGTAACCTTGCTTTAGTGTTGTCTCACGATTCTTTTGGGTATTTTCACTTCAATTTGTTGTTCTTGAAAGCGGTCAAACGTCAGTTAAAGTCTGATGACATCCAAATTATTTTGGAAAATTCAGATAGCACGTTTGGCGGAACATTCATCCATTGGATGTGCTTTGGGAGGAATGCTGAACTCTTCAAATCACTGTCGTTCTGCTTAACAGCTAATCAAAAGGCTGCTTGTCTCACACCATGTTGTATTTCTGGTAATTCCAACATTGTGCAGTTACTCTGCATAGAGACCGATTTAACTGACTGTCTGAGGAATCCTAAAAGTCGACTGACCCTACCAGGTATTGCACAAAATATGGAGAGCCCTCTGACAAATATTGAATCATATGACACCCATGCCTTGCCAGCCCTACACCTCTCCAGTCTTTACGGACATACTGGCGTAGTGTCTAATCTCCTGGAGAATGGATTTGATGTCAATGCACAATTAGTCGAAGGGTCCGGAACCAACATACCGTTCCTACCCATGAGTACTGCTGCTTTAGCTGCTGCAACTAAAGGGAATATAGATGTTGTGAAATGTCTGATACAGCACGGTGCAGATCTCAATCTCCACGACATCATGTTCAACGCACCAATACACTCTGCTTGTAGATCAGGTAACCGTGACCTCGTGGCACTGATTGCAAGACAATGCTGCATCTCAGAAGGGGATGCTGAAGGGAATACGCCCCTGCATATTGCTTGTAAGCGAGGGGAATCAGATAATGTATCCATACTGCTGGAGAGAGGGGCTGACTGCACGGTGCTGAATTACAACAATGAAATGCCACTGGATATAGTTTGTAAGGAGGGATTTCTTGACGTCGCTAAGGTTATTTTAAATCAAAGGGGTTACCCGCTTCCTTACGATGGGTCTAATACACCTTTACATAAAGCGTGTGCAGCAGGGTTTAGTGATATCATTGAGTTACTGTTACAGTATGATGCTGATAGATCTGTCACTGTGGATGACCAAAACCCCCTTTTGACTGCTGCATATTCAAACAATGCTGATGTGGTTAAGATACTGCTTAATACAAGCGCTGCAAACATTGTCATATGTGATTCAAAAATTGTATCAGAGTGTTTAGAAAAGGGACATATCGGGGTGGTTAAAATACTGTTGGAGAAAGGAGCTTGTGTGAAGGGTAGAGGCAGGTATGGGCATTCACTACTGGCTAAAGCTTGTGAAAAGGGAGATATAGAGATCGTTAAGCTACTGCTGGAGAAAGGGGCAAGTGTGGCTGATATCTTCAGGTATAGGTATTCACCAATGGCTAGACCTTTTGAAAAGGGAGATATAGAGATCGTTAAGCTACTGCTGGAGAAAGGGGAAAGTGTGACTGATATCGACATGGATCGGTATTCACCACTGGCTAGAGCTTGTAAAAAGGGATATATAGAGATCGTTAAGCTACTGCTGGAGAAAGGGGCAAGTGTGACTGATTTCGACAGGTATAGGTATTCACCACTGGCTAAAGCTTGTGGAAAGGGAGATACAGAAATTGTTAAGCTACTTCTGGAGAAAGGGGCAAGTCTGACTGATACCGACTTGGATAACTATTCACCACTGGCTAAAGCTTGTGAAAAGGGAGATATAGAGATCGTTAAGCTACTGCTGGAGAAAGGGGCAAGTGTGACTGATCTCGACATGGATGGGTATTCACTACTGGTTACAGCTTGTGAAAAGGGAGATATAGAGATCGTTAAGCTACTGCTGGAGAAAGGGGCATGTGTGACTAATGTCGACATGGATGATTATTCACCACTGGCTATAGCTTGTGAAAAGGGAGATATAGAGATGGTTAAGCTACTGCTGGAGAAAGGGGCTGCTGAGACTGATCTCGACATGGTTGGGAATTCACGACTGGTTATACCTTGTCAAAAGGGAGATATAGAGATCGTTAAGCTACTTCTGGAGAACGGGGCAAGTGTGACTGATTTCGACATGGATGGGTATTCACCACTGGCTAGAGCTTGTGAAAAGGGAGATATAGAGATCGTTAGGCTACTGCTGGAGAAAGGGGCAAGTGTGAATGATATCGATATGGATGATTATTCAGCACTGGCTAAAGCTTGTGAAAAGGGAGATATAGAGATCGTTAAGCTACTGCTGGAGGAAGGGGCTAGTGTGACTGGTCTCGAAATGGGTGAGCCTTCACTACTGGCTATACCTTGTGAAAAGGGAGATATAGAGATCGTTAAGCTACTGCTGGAGAAAGGGGCAAGTCTGACTGCTATCGACTTGCATGGGTATTCACCACTGGCTAGAGCTTGCGAAAAGGGAGATATAGAGATCGTTAAGTTACTGCTGGAGAAAGGGGCAAGTCTGACTGATATCGACATGGATGATTATTCACCACTGGCTAGAGCTTGTGAAAAGGGAGATATAGAGATCGTTAAGCTACTGTTGGAGAAAGGGGCTAGTGTGACTGATATCGACAGGTATGGGTATTTACCACCGGCTAGAGCTTGTGAAAAGGTAGATATAGAGATGGTTAAGCTGCTGCTGAAGAAAGGGGCAAGTCTGACTGCTAACGACATGGATAGGTATTCACCACTGGCTAGAGCTTGTGAAAAGGGAGATATAGAGATGGTTAAGCTACTGCTGGAGAAAGGGGCAAGTGTGACTGCTATCGACAGGTATGGGTATTCGCCACTGGCTAGAGCTTGTCAAAAGGGAGATATAGAGATTGTTAAGCTACTGCTGGAGAAAGGGGAAAGTGTGACTGCTATCGACAGGTATGGGTATTTACCACTGGCTAGAGCTTGTCAAAAGGGAGATATAGAGATCGTTAAGCTACTGCTGGAGAAAGGGGCAAGTGTGACTGCTATCGACATGGATGGGTATTCACCACTGGCTAGAGCTTGTAAAAAGGGAGATATAGAGATCGTTAAGCTACTCCTGGAGAAAGGGGCAAGTGTGACTGCTATCGACAGGTATAGGTATTTACCACTGGCTATAGCTTGTGAAAAGGGAGATATGGAGATCGTTAAGCTACTGCTGGAGAAAGGGGCAAGTGTGACTGCTATAGACATGCATGGGTATTCACCACTGGCTACAGCATGTCAAGAGGGATATATAGAGATAGTTAAGCTACTGCTGGTGAAAACAGCAAGTGTTTCTGATACCGTCTTGGATAAGTATTCACCACTCGCTAGAGCTTGTGAAAAGGGACATATAGAAATAGTTAAGCTGCTGCTTGAAAAAAGGCTTAGTGTGTCAGATACCGACATAGATGGGTATTTACCTCTTGTTACAGCTTGTGGAAAGGGAGTTTGTGTGTCAACTGTATATCATTTTTTCCGACTGTCCATCAAACGATTGCAACTAGATGTAACTAGAAATATCGACATATCATCATTTCTCAAAAGGGTTCTTCAAAAGAAACATTTTATTATGTTTAGGATGCTGCTTCCGATACTTCCTTCAGATGTATCTCCAGAATTCTTCCTTCAAGAATTGTGTTGCCTTGACTCACCACAAGTTCTTTTATTACTAACTGAAATGTGCAATGGAATTTGTTTACAAAATACACTTACAGCAGCAGAAGATTTGAAAAATGTCAAATGCATTGAAATACTCAATTTACTCAATACTTATGATGTAAAAGGTATTCTCCTCCACAGGGTTGTTGCATGTGGCTACATGAACTTGGTAAAACGTTATTTTGAGAAATTTCCATCCAGTCATCACGCAGACTCGTGTGTGATGATTGCATCAAGATATGGACACACGGCTATTGTTGAATGGCTATTGCACAAATATTCTAACGACATGACTTGCAGAGAACTCTTTGGCAGATGCAGTATTCAAACTTTGTTTGACGATATCTCCGAATCCAGTGTAACTGAATATAGGAAGGATACGACATCTCTCTTTGAAGCATGTTACCAAGGACACACTAACATAGTGAGATTATTGTTACAATATGAAATGTACATGTCGGATCAGGCTGTTTCGTCATCTTTTCATTTGGTATGTGAAAGAGGAAACATTGGCGTACTACACTTACTGTTAGATTCTGGGCTATATGTAGATCATGTGGATGAAACTGGGAGCACGGGTCTCTATATCTGTAGTAGAAATGCAAGAGATTCGGCTGTGCAAGTGTTATTAGAGAATGGTGCAAATCCATGCCATGTAAACAATGAAGGTGAAACGCCTCTTCACGCAGCCATGGAAAGTAATAACTTCACTGTCATGAAATCACTCCTCAGGTATACAACTTCATTTTCAAATGTGCCAGTTTCAATGTTAAATAATGGTTATCTGTTCAAGCTTGTATCTGAAAATATTCACGAAAAGTCATTAGCAGCTGTAGATTCTGATAGTAACTCACTTCTTCATCATGCTGTGAGATTTGGCTTTCCTGACAGTGTTGCGACCTTACTGGAACGTGGTGTTGATGGCTCTCTGACGAACTGCAAGAAAGAAACTGCGATGCATATTGCTGCTGAGAGAGGGTGTCGGAAAAGCGTAAGGCTTCTCATTCGATACCATCACACCAGTAATGTTGAGAATATGGACAAACAGACACCACTCCATTGTGCTGCGTCCGAAGGACATTTGAACATTGTTAAAGATTTAATTGATTGCGATTCAAATGTATCTTTGAAAGGTTGTCTGCACTATGCTGCTAAATCAGGTCATGTAGAAACTGTGCAATGCTTAATAAACAAAGGGGCTGTAATAAATGAAACTTACTGTCAAAGTGATACTCCGCTACATCATGCATGTGAATCAGGAAACATCCAAACTGTTAATGTGTTACTTTCATCAAGAGCAGATGTCAATGCACAGGGACATAAAGGACGCACTCCACTCCATATAGCATGTGCAAGAGGATATGACGGAATTGTTGACTGTTTATTGAATCATGGTGCTGATCCAAACCTCAGAAACAAATTCAACAATACGTCTCTTTTATCAGCTGTAGTAGAGGGACACCTTGATGTTATCAAAGTAATGATGATAAAGGGAGCTAAGGCCGAAATATCAGGAGCAAATGGCAGTAACTATTTGATTGCATGTTGTACACGAGGTCATCTACATGTGGCGAGGTACTTAATAGAAAATGGAGCTAACATTTCTTCCATTGGCCTTCAGTGTATATCCCCCTTTTCAGTGTCTTTGAGTGACATATTGGAAGATGAAAGAGAAACCATAGAAGACATTCAAAATACAGTTAGAAGTGGAATTGAGGGTATGACGTCACTGCATGCTGCAATGGATGGTAACCACTTTGACGTAGCAGAGTATCTTATGAATCAAGGTGCTGATGTGCTTGAGAATGACCAGTATGGTAAAAGCGTGCTTATGAAAATATGTGAGAAAGGTAATTTGCAGGTAACAAAAGCATTTCTTTCTTCTGGATCAGTGTTTCCTTCAGTGTTGAGAAAACATATCATTAAAGGATTTACCCTACAAAAAACTCAAACTTCATCTCAATGTGAGAAAAAATCAAGTGATTCGGTGGCAGTGAGAGAAACAGGGCATGTGATAGAAGTAATTGATGAACCAGACACGGACTCTGTTAATGTCCCTCCAGTCAAAGTAGCTTGTGACTGTGACCATGGTGATGTGGCTAGTTTACTTATAGCATACAGTGCTGGGTGGCTATCAGACATGGATGACAGTCATCTCTATGACGGTAAATCTCCCTTACATCTTGCATATGATGCTGGGTTTATGGATGTGGTTGCTTGTTTGTTGTCGTCAGCTACCAATTCAAATGCTGTAGATTCAAATGGTCACACAATCTTCCATAAAGCATGTGAACATGGGGACGTGAAAACATTACAAAACATATTGAAATTCAATGTAGAGATCAAACAGCAACTGTTTATAAAATCAAAAGATGGAGAAATGCTTTCTCACATAACATCACGAAGGGGGCATTTGCATATTCTACAGATGTTGCTCGAGGCTGGAATGGATCTCGATCATTTAACAGATGAAGGTGACAATGTCCTCCACCTGGCGTGTTCCTACGACAAATACAGAGTATGTACGTTCCTTCTCGATACCAGTCCTAATCTGGCATGGGTAAAAAATCACAATGGTTTCACACCTCTCGACATGGCAATAGGGACTGGCAATGACAAAATTGTTAGAATCTTCTTCGCTCATGCAAAGTTAACCCAATATGGTAGAATGCAAAACACCATCTGGATGTACCTCTGTGAGTCAATGGACAACATAAACAGGCTGAACGTTTTAGTCAGGTGCAGCAACGTTATGGAGATGACAGATAATCACGGCAACACACCATTTCATATTGCCGCAATGACAGGCAGTACTCGTGCTATTGACTGTCTTCTAAAACATGATAGAAAAGATTGTGTAAAGCTTTCAAATAGTGACGGAGATACGCCACTTCATGTTGCCTCACATCAAGGGCACTCCGCTGTGGTCCGTATATTATCTCCGAACTTTGAAACAAATGTGGCAAATAACCTAGGTGACACGCCACTCCATGTGTCTTGCCTCAATGCCCAGAGAGGATCTGTATTGACTCTTCTATCAGCTGATTCAAACGTCAATGCTGAGAACAACTGTGGTGATACCCCTCTACATATGGTTTTACATTCATTTTTTACCATGCCCGATGCTAAACTGGCAGAAACCATCAGAATTATTCATCATTTACTAGCATATGCAGCCGACCCATGTTGCCAAAATATCAATAGGAACACACCCTTGCATGTCGCGTGTTCCTTAGGCAAAATTGAAATTGTTGCAAGTTTACTTACATATTATAAAGATCTCAACATAATGAATAGATGTGGTAAAACACCCCTACATGTAGCTTGTGAATATGACCATAGCGCCATTGTGGACCTCCTACTTGAGCTGATCTGGTTGAGGACGTTGCAAAATGGAGATGGTGGTGTTTACGTTGACTATCAAGACATTGAGAGTGCAACATCCCTTCACATTGCATGCCGCAGGAATAGTGTCCAATCAGTCTCCCTTCTCCTTGAACATGGTGCAGGCACCACAATCAAAGACAACAATGGTAACATGCCTGTATTTGTTGCTTGTGAAGCTGGTTGTGTTCAAGTTGTCAGGCAGCTGTTACCTTATTCATCACATCAAGACGTGAACAGATTTGGCGAAACTCTTCTATTGGTTGCATGTAGAAATGGACACGAGGATATGTTTCAAATCATAGTTCACTGGGTTTACCATGGTGCTGACCAGAACATGGCAAGGTGGTTCCTGAATGTTCCTGTTCCAATTCACATGAACATGACAGCATTACACATATCCAGTCACATAAAAAATGTGCACTTTGTGGAACAGTTGCTTCTTCGTGGAGCGGCACCCAATACCCGTGATGTGCATGGTCAAACAGCGCTACACTATAGCTGCATCAACGCTTGTCGGGTAATAGTAAGTGTGTTGTTGAAATACATGGCTGATGTCTCTGTGTGCGATGAACATCTACGGACACCGCTCCACTACGCCTGTGAACGTGGATCCCTGGACATTGCTGAGATGTTGGTGATGGCAGGAGGGAATCTTTACGTTCGTGATCGAGATGGACGAACTCCCCTTGACATGTGCAGCACTGGACACAGAGTTCTACTGAAGCAAAGGTGAGACTTGTTTCATTGTGTGTTCAGGCTAATTGAATGGCGGGTGCTTCCGGTGTGACAGGACATGTTGACCCTGGACACCTGGTGTCAGTACTGATTTTCAGTGTTCGTTCCTAGAATTTTCACAGCTATTTTGCCCTTTCAACCATATGAAATCTGTTTCTGAAGATGGTCAAGATTGGGTTTTCCTTGTATATTTATTTACACTGACTGTAGATTAAGACCAGTGTCTTAGCCTTTACGTTACCGATTGCTTGTTAGCATTTTCTTGGAATATAATAACTATATATTATATCGGGTTAAAACATTCTTTTCAACTTAAATCTCGTGCAGTAAGACTTTAAAATACATAGGTGCAGTCGGGAGAGATTAAACTTTTCAATGTAAACAATCAGATATCTTTGAATATTACAACTTCAACAACTGAAACCAAGCTTTCATTGTTTCAGCTTGCGGTACTTGAGGAAACGCCAGTCGACCAGTTCTGAAGATTCGCCGTGTTCTTCCAAACGCATAAGATATGATTCCACAAAAAGAGGGTGCACCTTTGAAGACGCACAGACCTGTCCACGTCCCAGAAGTGTACCACAGTTAAGGCGCAGTCACTCAATGGGTGAGACACGGTGTGTGTCATCAGATGGGCAGTGCTTTCAGGAGTAAGACTGTCAGTTTGAGAATGTTTAGTTCACTGACCCATTCAAACAACTATTGAATGTTTCTCTCCGGATACTTTAGATGTATGATGGTGGTATGTGAATAATCATATCTGCATCAGACAATCCAGTGACTGCTTGAACAAGTCCCAGTCTCACCAGTCACCCAGTCACCTCTAAGAAGAAGCATGAATTTGCTGGAGATCAATTCTAACCGGGATCTTCACGCATAAAGAAAATATTGAAAATATTTGTATATAAATGTATACATGTATACATAAAGTGTGTTTAGTATAAGGTGTGATTATGAGTACGTGTATATTAACACGACTGTTGTACAAAATGTTTTTTTAGTGTAACATAAGTTGAGCGCCAATGGCTATACAGTGCTCTAGTGTCATTGTGTATACAGTAAATGTGTTAAGAGCAAAGTGCATCAGGAATTAAATGAGTGCTGTGTACAAAATGGCTACGTATAAAAAAATTCCGCATTATTGTGCTGATTATATTTTGTATTTATGAAGATCTGCTAGATCAGTAATGTTTTAGTGAAAAAAGTGCTTCTTATAAATGTGCTCTGGGTAAGTACTAGTATCCACAATGATTAAGTAATACTGTGCTGATAGTCAAACCTATTTACCAGGGTGGTGATAATTTGTTTTATTACCTACGAGAGCGAAAATACCGGGGTTCATATTTATCATATGTTGCCCTAGGGCAAAATACCACTTTGTCATGGTGAGGTGACGTCATGAACAATGCTATGACGTCACATTTCTTCTAGGAAGTTGCGTTCTACATGCGGCGACGGCGGGCAGCCAGCCTATGTTTGAGAGTAGATTTGGGTTTACGACTTACGATTTAACGACTTCGGTAATAAATAGAATAATGTATTCGTGCCCATATCATACTATGATTACGAAACTCGTGCCTAAAGATCGGTAAATACCTAGCTCTCGCTCGGGAAATACCAACATTTAGGTACTCGTGTCGTAAACATAGTATGACATGGGCACTCATATAATATCCTCTATGTACTGATAATAAAACTTATTTAGTATGGCATGCATGATATAATGTCTTTTTCATTGCCTGTATTACTTATATGTTCAATGAACATTATGTTTAGCGATAGAATATAAATGAGAGTATTTGTTAGGGATAGTAAGGCATAGAAGCGAGAACTATCGACCTAGCAACTATTCTTGCAGATCCAATAAAATTACTGTCACGTGTGCTGTATGTTACTAAAATCACAACCGAATACGGAAGTTCCACAAAGTGAATGTTAGAATATATGGTGAATAGTTAGCACAAACGGCACAAACCCTTTCCAATGAAACTCACGGCTCAAGCGCAATTGTGCATGCAACTAGCCACGCACTGTGGTATATACTGACTGACTGACTGAGTTTGGTTTTACGCCGCTTTTAGCAATATTCCAGCAACATCACGACGGGGGACACCAGAAATGGGCTTTACACATTGTGCCCATGTGGGGATTCGAACCCGGGTCTTCGGCGTGACGAGCCAACGCTTTAACCATTAGGTTACCCCACCGCCCCTCTGTGGTATATAGTATCTCGTTAGGATGAGAAAGCCACAATAACGCGGTGCGCCTAGTGGCAGCAAGAGTTGTATACTCCCCAGGGAGTTCAGATTGCTAATACGATGTGCAGTTGGTATTGACATCCAATGATCGAGGGAAAAGATACCAGCGCCTTGAGAATGCACTAGTGCGTGGATATGTGCGCTATATAGATATCCTATACTAATAATAATCGTACTACACGTGACCAAATGGCAAACAGTCGTTCAGTCAGAGCATTCAGTTGTGCTCCTTTCATATACACCACATTATGTGCTCAGAATGTTTTAGTTAGAAATGTACATATACAAGGGTGCGACCTTTTTAGCATAAAATGTAAATATGCAAACTGTATTTAGTATAAATTAGTATTTGTTTAGTTTAAAGTGTACTTAGTGCAAAAGTTTCAAGCAAAAGTAGTATAAGTAGGCTGAATATATACTCTTCAAAAAAAGTAGGGGCTACCTGAACCTTCAATTTGGATAGGAACAAAGACATTTTAAAGGCAGACATCATATCAACATTGATTGACTGTGCTTGATCTCCAATTTTTTTCATTCGTAAATTAAATATGAAATTCCCGTACCTTTTAGAAGCGAATGTAATGGGCATAGTTAAAAATGAAATGGTAAGTATAGTGCGTGCGTGCGTGCGTGCGTGTGTGTATGTGTAGGTGTAATCCATCACACATGTTGATTTAATACTGCAGTATTTGTTGCGACTATTGGTAATATAATGATATTGATAATGCATACATGTGGGTAGTGGTGGGGGTAGGGAAACGGGACATTTTGAAATTTGGGGTTTAAGTAACAAGGCATCTTGCAACAAAGTGTTTTTGTTGCAGGCTTTTCTGTATTTGTCATTACTTTCAATTCATGTCAACATATGTTTTATGATCATTATCTGACGCCACTGATTGTTTGATTAAATGTCAAGAGGAGAGGGAATGAATGTATTGAGTCAGTAGCAAACGATGTATTTCAATAAAGATAAACATACAGTTTGTATATCTGTTCTTATATCCGAAAACCAACGAGAAAGTGAGTGACAGCGAGTGTTTGAGAACAGCATGAGTGAGTGAGTGCGATAGTGAGTGAGTATGATTCTACGCCGCTTTTAACAATATTCCAGCAATATCACGGCGGGGGACACATTTTGTACCCATGTGGGGAATCGAACCCGGGTCTTCGGCGTGACGAGCCAGCGCTTTTACCACTAGGCTACCCCACCGCCCCGTGAGTGCGAGAGCGTTTCGTGGGCAGATGCGAGCGAGCGAGAGCCATTATGTGGGCGGAAAGATGCTTTCAGAGAGAGTGAGTGAGCGAGGGTGAAAGCGAGCAAACGAGAACATTTGGGAGGGCAGGTGCATGCTTACTCACTCTTTCATTACCGGTTGAGAATCAAACCACAGACTAAGACAGATTGGTGTCGACCAGCACTCACAACCCCTGGTTTAGAGTACACAACCCTGTGCACTTAAAAGAACCCACGAATCCGTTGGTATATGACCAGAGGGTGGCCACATGAATACGTGCAAACACGGGTACAGCAACGTCCAGTAAACTTGGACAAAGTACTGTGACTATGTGTCCCAGTCCACCCAGCTGTGAATGGGTACCTCGTAAGGATGGGAAAGCCGCAATAACTTGATGCGCCTAGTGGCTGCAAGAGTTATATGATCCCCCAGTCACTGACCCTGTCCACCCAATCCACCAAGTCACTGACCCTGTCCACCCAATCCACCAAGTCAATGAGTCTGCCCACCCAATCAAGTCACTGACCTTGTCCACCACATTCATCATGTCCCTGACACTGTCCACCCAATCCACCAAGTCACTGAGCCTGTTCATTCAATCTACTAAACCACTGACCCTGTTCACCCAATCCACTGAGTCACTAACCCTATCCTAGCAATCCACCATCATGTCACTAACACTGTCCACCCAATCCTCAAGGTCAATGACCCTGTCCACACAATCCACCAAGTCACTCACCCTGTCCACACAATCCACCAAGTCCCTGACCCTGTCGACACAATCCACCAAGTCCCTGACCCTGTCCATCCAATCCACCAAGACACTGAGCCTGTCCACACCAGTTACCACGTCACTGACCCTGTGCATTCAATCCATCCAGTCACTGAGCCTGTCCACCCAATCCACCAAGGCACTGACCCTGTCCACCCAATCAACCAAAGCACCTACCCTGTCCACCCAATCCACCAAGTCACTGACCCTGTCCACCCAATCAACCAGGTCACTGACCCTGTCCACACAATCCATCACATCAATAATACTGTCCACCCAATCAACCAAGTCACTGACCCTGTCCACCCAATACACCAAGTAACTGGGCCTGTTCATCCAATCCACAAAGTCACTGACCCTGTCCACCCAATCCACCAAGTCACTGGGCCTGTTCATCCAATGCACCAAGTCACTTACCCTGTCCACCCAATCCACCAAGTCACTGGGCCTGTTCATCCAATGCACCAAGTCACTTACCCTGTCCACCCAATCCACCAAGTCAATGAGTCTGCCCACCCAATCCACCAAGTCACTGACCTTGTCCACCACATTCATCATGTCACTGACACTGTCCACCCAATCCACCAAGTCACTGAGCCTGTTCATCCAATCTACTACAAAAATGACCCTGTTCACCCAATCCACTGAGTCACTAACCCTATCCACCCAATCCACCATCATGTCACTAACACTGTCCACTCAATCCTCCAAGTCAATGACCCTGTCCACACAATCCATCAAGTCACTCACCCTGTCGACACAATCCACCAAGTCCCTGACCCTGTCCATCCAATCCACCAAGTCACTGGGCCTGTTCAGCCAATCCACCAATTCAATGACCCTGTCCACCCAATCCACCAAGTCACTGGGTCTGTTCATCCAATCCACCAAGTCACTGACCCTGTCAGACCATTCCACCAAGTCACTGACCCTGTCCACCCAATCCACCAAGTCAATGAGTCTGCCCACCCAATCCACCAAGTCACTGACCTTGTCCACCAAATTCATCATGTCACTGACACTGTCCACCCAATCCACCAAGTCACTGAGTCTGCCCACCCAATCCACCATGTCACTGATCCTGTCCACCCAATCCACCAAGTCACTCACCCTGTCCACCAAATTCATCATGTCACTGACCCTGTCCACCCAATTCACCAAGTCACTGAGCCTGTTCATCCAATCTACTAAAACACTAACACTGACCCTGTGCACTCAATCCACCCAGTCACTGAGCCTGTCCACCCAATCCACCAAGGCACTGACCCTGTCCATCCAATCCATCAAGTGACTGGGCCTGTTCATCCAATCCACCAAGTCACTGAGTCTGTCCACCCAATCCACCAAGTCTCTAAGCTCCTAATCCATTAGGTGTTGCCGTATTGGTCTTAGGACAAGTATTGGCTGGGGTACAGTTATAGCGAGGAATCTTCAAAGGTCATTCCCTGAATGAACTCACTCAATGCATCACTAAACAAACAGTCCCGGGAAGATCCAGGTTCGAATTGATCTTCAGGACCTCATGCTTGTCATAACAGGTCACCATTGGTTGTCCAGACTAGAGTCTATTGATGGATGTTATTGTATCCCAGTTGTATGGATCAATGCTCATGATATCAATCACTGGTTTGTCTGGCCCAGACTCAATTATTTACAACCACTGTCACACAGCTGGAATACTGCTGAGTGCAGCATTAAACAACCAATAAAAGTAAACGACTGCAACTGAAGGAAAAAAGTGCATCAGAAATTACATGTGCCAAAACTGTAGCTATTCTCTTGTCAACCTGGCCCCGATTTCTCGAAAAAACTTAAGTTTTTTACTCAAATTTCAAACTGAGTTTGACAATTTGAAACTGCTGATTTTTTTAATGAACTGCATTTTTTTTAATAAAAAAGCCCAAATTGTCAACTATATTTGAGTGTAATATCGATTTCAGTTCATTCTGGGAAATGCATTTTCCTGCTTTTTCTCACATTTGAGTAAAAACTCTTACTTAAGTCAAAACTCGAACTTAAGTTTGTTTCGAGAAATCTGGTCTGGCCTGGTCTTTCTTTTTCAAAAATAACAGCATCATCACAAGTTGTATGATGTAATCTTTATTTGAATAAATCTATTTGTTTATTGTACATCAAATCAAGAGCACTGTCAAAATATCTCATGGTCTGTTTGATAGAATATACATAATATGTGCCTTAAATGTCTGTCTGTTGACAGCGTCACATTCATATGAGTTGAAGTAGATATTGACAGAATCACACATATGTAAGTCATGGTACATGTCAACAGAATCACACACATGTAAGTCATGAAACTTGTTGACAGTATCACACTTCTCTATTTCATGGTACCAGATGACAGAATCACACTTGTATAGGTTACATGGTACATATTGAGTTGACAGACACAATTCAGTTTACAAAGTGTGACAAAGCTATACAGTAAGTAAGACTATAAATATATACTGGTCCCTCAGAAATACTGGTGTCTTCACAACTATACCTTTATATCTTGATAAAGAACTGTAATTCATTCAATGAACTAACAAATATATCTTTATATCTTGATAAAGTACTGTAACTCATCCAATGTACTTACAAATTTATCTTTATATCT